TAGATCTCGGAGCTTGTTAAAATTTTATTTACCAGTAGTTTTTGCATAGCCGGCCAAGTCATACGCGATTATTTAAAAATTTTTTTTATTTCAAAGTCTGAACAATAAATTAACTGCAAACATAATGCGATCAATATAAGATAATAATAATAATATTGACAGTGTATTTGTTGAAAGAACTAAAAATGTTTATTTTTTCAAAATATCGACCAATTCTTCATTGAAACTAATACACGGATAATAATTGCTGTTAATATTATTTTATGGCCAAAAAGCCAATGTCACACAAGTTTGCATGCTTGCATAATGTTTTTTTTTTATTTTGCATTTGGCCGTCTTATGTTTTTTTCTTACGACTTTTGTGATTATTAATTAATCATAACAATACATCTTAGTTGACGACTTAAAAATTTAAATTCAATTTATTTACTATTTCTTTTTTTTTAACCTAACCTATCTTTAAAAAAAGCTTGTAGCATAGTGTAGAAAATATCGCTGCTTTTATTGCTTGTATTTTTTTTTTTTTTTGATAACAAAAAGGAAATTGTGATAAATAAAAATAACGTTATCAGAAGTGAACGGCCACACAATCAAACGGTTTTCTTAAATGTGTCCTATCGGTGCGCATCGGTATGAACCGCTAAAATATCTTAAATCCAACTTCACAATTAAATAAAAATAAACAAAGATTTTAAAATTTAAAATACCTACAAAATATTTCACGGTACAGTTCGGACGTGTTAATTTACAACATTCATAGTCAAATTTACACAAACAATTAGATTAGTACAACTTGAAAATATTATCAAAATTATAAGTCAAACCAACTAAATAACTACGTTTTAATCAATATTTTTATTGGAGTTGGCTTTCACCAAGAACGCTTAGTACACGATGCACTGCATGATGTAATTATATAGAGGATGATAATTTAATGGGGGATGTCATATCAATATTTTTATTTAAAAATCGGTGTGTTTACTGTAAGACCATCGCGGACCGAGTTTAACACAATTTGAAGTCAAGTTAAAATAATAAAACAATGGTGGTAGATAAAAAAAAAAAATTCAACATTATCAAATCAAAATTTGGAATATCCCAAAAATTGTTGCATTTTAATTTAATTTTACCGTAGGTATTTTAAATACAAGATAGTACTGGACTCGCCTGCGTGCTTTGGACGGTTCAGGCCAAACCGAATGCTAGATTAATGGCTTGATGCGATGCAGCTTGTTTTTTAGATATTGCTTCCAAAAAAAAAAAGTAAAAATCTTCATGAAACTTCTATGCTTTTTAGAATCTTTTAGTTTGATTAAAACCAAAGTATATATAGAGTTACGGCTTTTTAATTTAAGCTACGACATATTTTGAGAGCTAATTTTTTTAAAAGTAATTATTCGTAAACTATTTTTTTTTTTAGTTTAAATATAAAAGTATGAAGGACATTGTTGTAAAATGTAAAGAAGAGAAATGTACAGTATGGAAAAGCGAAGATGGTACCGAAGAGTATTTTTACTTCAGTATAATGCCCGATCTGCGACTGTACTATCATAAAACTTCCAATGATAAGAAGGTAACTATGCGTTTTTACAGGAGAACTTATGTAAAAAAATGTAAATGATTTATATTTTTTAAGCTAATTATTTGTTTTTAACTTTACCCTAGTTCGATGGCGGTCTAAAAGGAGAACCATTTGAAAACAGAGATCTGGAAGACGAAGTGCCTAGGCTCAAAGGTGAGATAACGTTGATTTTTTGTTGTTTCTCTTTTTTTAAAACAATTTCCTACTTTGTTTAGGCATATGTAAAACGTTTCGATCGAGATCCCAGTTCAAACCTAACGAAGATAATTTCAAAATGATAGCCAACACTGTGCAAGGAGTCCGTACGCTTATCGAGGAATCCGTAGCCGAGGGAAAGCCCGAGAGCTTAATACTTTCGCTCGAAGAATATCTCCGATTGGTTGAAAAGCACGAATACAATTATCTAAGCACCAACAACGAATCAAAGATAAACCTGTACAGAGATTGGAAATTGACACATCCTGTGAATAAACATAAAGTCAAAAACACCAAATTAGGTAGGTTTGATTTTAATTTTTCTTAGTGGTCTAAAAAAAAAAAAGTATTTGCGTCAAATTTAAAATGTTTTAAAGAAAGGTTTTTTTTATTTATAATGAAACCATTTAAAATAATTTTTGTTATTAGTTGGTTGCATCTTGCAAATTCCAAAGAAATGTCTTTTTGTAGGTACTTTTTAAGATTTTTTTTATCGAATGCATTACATTTATCTGAATTAACTGATGTGACCAGACTTACTTTTTTTTTTCTTTTGAATTTAAACAACTTGCACATTTGTTGCATAAGACACCGTTTAATTTATTATCCAAGATAAAGTTATTGACATGTTAGCTTACAGCTAATGTTCTTATTATATTCCCATCGACAACGTATTATGTTTTCTGACTCGGCGTTTTAAATCCTAACCCAAATAATAGACAAACATTCTTTATTTTAATCTTTTTTTTTCCATAGATTACAGCGAAGAAAAAGAACCTATCAAACGACGACAAACGGAAGACCATCAGGACATTGATGAATATTATGAAAATAAAAAAGCAAAGATTATCAGTTGTCCGGACACTTCACTATACTCATCTCTTATCAGCGAAGATGAAGATGAAGATGATAACTGCATTAAAATAGTTTCCGTTTCATCAGTAGCGCCTACCCCTTTGAATACTTCACCAACTGTGTCGAGCGTAGATTCAAAAAACTCATTGTGTTCAATTAGCGTAAGTTCATTTTATAGCTTGGATAATTATACTAAACAAAAGCATACTCCTACCTATCACAACGTCGAGTAACACTGACACATCGGTCAAGACTTATATTCCAGAGTCGAGACTTCTTTACTGCTGTAAAGCGTTACAACAATTATTTCCAATTGTTCTCAAACATTCCTATTTTGACGTCTTATGTGTGTGTCAATAATTACTATCCTTATAGTATATTACTTCTATAATTTTTGATTTGCATGTTTCAGTGAATAGGAAGTTACAAACCTCCACTGATCCTATACTAGTCAATGCATTTTATTCGACTGACATTCAATTTATAAGACTTGAGTATGTTCACGTAACGTAAAATCACTAAATTTTAAATATTTTTATATTCTCTATTACATTTACTGTCGAAGAAAATTGACATTAAAGAAAATTTTTTTTTTGTCTAACTTATGCACTGTATTTTTTACTTTATCTATTTATTTATTTTTGTATTTCTTTATAATAACGTTTTAAAAATGTCTTAGTAAATTAATTGCATGTGTGTCATTACTTTTTAAATTTAAGTTTATTTTTATAATGGTTTAAATAAGATTTATTTGTAGTAGTGATTTTGTTTGTTTTTAATATTTTCAATTTGCACGTGTGTTATTATTATAATTTATCAATGTCTTACATGTGTCGTTGGCTTTAAATTCATTGTCAGTTTTTTTACAACTACAAATTATAGTAAAACAAATTTGCAAAGAATGTACAAAAAAATGTTTTACTCAAATAATAAAATATTTTTTTTTAATGCGATTTTTTGAATTTATTTATTCGAATAGTTGAAATTTGATATTATTTGGCATCCCTTCTGTCAGCAGAAGAACATTTAGATATTATGTAGCATTTAGGTGTACTTACTGTAATCTGGTTATTGATTTATTCATCTAAATATACTAATGCTGGACTGTCTTGGGCGTCCAAACCTGTAACATAACACACACAGTTGTGTACTTAAATTTTGGTAAAAATGATAAGCAATGTCTATGTTATTAACAAACATTCAATGGAGAATAAACATATAGAGCTCAGGCAAACGTTAATTGGCGTTACAATAAATGACAGTGTTATTATTAGATATTTTTATTCCTTATATAAAAATTGAGAAAAAAATGTACACATTTTTCAACTTAAAATTACGATGCTCTATAACTTTTTTAAAAATAGTCGAAAATGTTCCAAATTTATATGAATTGTTCCTCAAATATAGTACTATCGATAAACATTAACAAACCAAAAAAAAAAATCATAAACCCTTTCCCTTAGAAGGGATAGAATTTTTTTCTTTATTTCACTTTTTCAAGCAAAGTTTTAGAGATTTAGATCTGAAAATTAGGCCGAAGGTAGATCTAAAATGGAACTACAACATATACAATTTTTTTAAAAATCTGTAAAATGAAAATATTTTCATTATATTTTTAATTACGATACATGGGTAACTATGACAGTACATTTTTATAGACAGACGATCAACCCTTATCGTATCCACCCTGCACAAGACTAAATATTAAATTTTAAGTGCATTATTGCTGGTCCCGCGATATCTTCTAAACCGCTATAACTGGTTTGAACATACTATCCACAGATTCGCATCGAAGCGTTTATTTAAAAGTGATTTTATCACTTTCAGTTGTAATAAAATCTGTAAAACCTGTGACCTCTCCGTCCCCACTACGCCCCGACCCCACTGTACTGGGTTTTTTTTGTACATATTTATATGATGCATTGTTGTGCTATTAGTATAGTTCGTTGAGGGAGATTTTATCATATTATATATTTCAGTGAAATTTTACCATGCGTTTTTGGTATTTTTCTTTGAAAACAAAAATGGTCCAGCCGTCGTCTCAGAGTTCAGCTCTATCGATTTTCACCCCTACGGTCCTACCCCCTCCCTACCCCCGTTTCCTCTCGAGCGCACCCTTCGGCGACCTGATGTGTTCAAAGTCCAAGGGTGGGTTGGGGGAGGGAGGACGCCCAATTCCCGACTGGATGGGCTGCCGCGTGCCCGGGCTCTGTCCTCCCTCTCGCCCATCACTGCTAACCACTTGCGCAAGTCGAACCGCAACCGTGGTAGTGGTCGGACGTACGGCGTATAGAGCTGCTGCTGCTGCTGCTGCTGTGTAGTAGGTTCCCGTCGGACGCAGACTATATAGTGTAGAGACACTGAAAACATGGCGAGGAACCGCAACCGGTCAAGACCCGAGCCGCCGGTCCCCAACACGGCGGAAAGCACTTATTCTTATATGCTGCAATGCGTGTCCAACGAGACGTTCTTCTTTGTGGCGGCCATGTTATTCGTCACCCAGGTGTCGATTGTTATGTGCGGCACTATGTGTAAGTTAATCTGTTATTCTTAATTCTTTATTACACCACACAAACGAGGCGTCCCTAGTAGCCAAGGGCTGTAAGTGTGTGTGTGTGTTTTTTTTTTTTTTTAAATTACAAGGAAAGAGTTTTTAAACATTACATCATGCCATCTCATCACACGTTCTATAAAAGTACACTATGATACGTATCTGGCTACCAATATTGTTGTTAGTACCTATCTATCACATAGCTCGTTGTCATTCCAAAAAATTCACTTACACTCATTAGCTTATTTTCCCGGAGCAAATTATTAAGGCGTAGAGGTCGTTCCATCAACACAATATTGATTTGACGAGGGCTGCCATATTTTTCAATGCAGCCACTTTAGGAGAGAAAAAAACATTTTTATTCGGTAAATATTTGTGGCGACACTGTTCGTGCTATCATTTAATATTACTTATCACTAGAGGCGCAACTAGGATTTATTTCAGTGGAGGGAGAGGGGGGGCGGGGGTTATACATGATATAGAATAATTAGTATAGGCTATATTTAGAGGAAATCTCGTAACGTTTTCTAGTAGTAATTTTTAAATATTCAAAAATACTATTTTGGACTCGATAGTATTATATAATGTTGCCCTAGAGCAATAGGTAAATACTTTAGTATGGATATTAAGTGACGACTGTCGAAAAATGATTAAACAGTGTTTAGAAATTAAAATTGTGTGTATAGTAAAATAGTTATAAAAAATAAACAAAATAGCTGTTGTAATCTTAAGTGAATTCTTCTTTTTGAGTCTTTTGCCAGTTCTTTTGCTGTCCTGTCGTAGGTATTCCGTAAGAATGTTATAACTTATAAGCCTTCGTAAACCTATCTACTGCTTATCACCATGATTTAAGACAATTTGATGTGGATTGTGAAAGCAGGCTGTCAAAACATAATTTTTACACATAAAATTAATTTTTTGTTTTGTGGCAATGGTCAAACTGAAAATTGCTAGCTTTGTCCAATCAATGTGGAATGCACACGCGTTATTGGGAACGGCAGCTAAGGGGGGGGGGGGGTGCCGGCTTAGTACACCCTTTAAAAACAAAGTCAGGCCAATGACTTTTAACTAGTAATAATATACATACATAATTAAGTTACAAGTTCAAGTTACAGTGTAAGTACGGTATTAACCTCCCTTTCCATTCTCAGAACCACACTATTATACAGATTATTACACTACAAAAAAACAAAGGTCAAGGGAGTAGATCTACCCCTCCCCCAAAAATGTGCTACTGTTTATAGAAATAAAGTTTTGAAATTTTATACTCGTTTGTTGTTGTATGTCAAAGTTCCGCCTTCGTCGCAAAACAAACAACCGGTGTTGGCAACGACATGTTTGAAAACTCCAAAAAACAGTATGCCGGAAGTTTACGGCCATAGCCTAAGAAGTTGTAAAACATACAATTTAGAAGAGTACAGCCCAGGAAGTCTAAATACCACAAATTTGGATGAGGATGAAATCGTTTTTTCCTTCGAGGTATGCTTATCGCAATTAACGTTGAAATCGACAGCATATAGTGTCTAATTACCACCTATCTGTCATGTTATACTGTGATGAATCAACCGGAATCGTTATGAGTTGTTAATATTATGCGTTTTTTATAGATGCCCGAACCGGAAGACCACGATTCGCTTATCCGGTACTTACGTTGGCAGCAAAATATCATCGGAAGTATGTTTTTTGAAGTTGCTCATCGTCCGGAAGATAAAGAGGGTAAGAGGGAGAAAATTTAAAAATGAAAATCGGTTTTCTACATAACCTTGTCAAAATACTCAAACAACTCGAATAGACTCTAAAATCAAATACTGTAAACGTGCATACCCTAAACACAAACTAACTGCTGAACTATTCTCATGTCATTTCGATTGTATTTGATTTTTATTCAATTTGTATTACTTCGATTATACTGGTCGATTGTATTATATTTTTTATTAAATTACCTATTAATGTCCCTCCTATTTGTAGATGTTATTATATTCGATGTAGGCATGGATATCGAATTTACACATGCTAACAAAGGTAGTCAGTTTGCCAAATTTTATGAAATGATCGACGTGAAACACCAAGTGGATTGTGTAAGTAACGGTGGTGTATATTTTGTTAGAATTTGTTTTATTTCAATTTTAAGCGATTGAGATAATAATATATGATGGTATTATATTTTTTCAAATTATTTTGTTTGTTTAGAAATTGTTGTACAACGACATGTATGCTTGCACAATGATTAAATTGTTCGAATTATCTCCGTTTAATTTCGATTATAACATGGTGAAGATAAAACTTCGGGGCGATTCTACTAAGCTGAAGAGATTGACGGACATGTGGCTAACGGTGAATGTCATAATGTGTTATTATTGTAGATATTTTGATTGGACGGGCAAGGCTCGTGTCCAAGGCTTCAAACAGCATGACAGTTTGTTTTTATTCATAAGATGTTATTTAATGACTAATGATGACACTATTAATAAACATGAAAGGACAACACTAATTATGGGCTATAATTTATGAAATTATTTTCATGGAAATATATATTAAGACGAGAATAGACGTTTAATTAATATGCAAAAATATAATAGAAAAAAAGGGAGGGGGGAAATGGGGTCGCTAAATATTTTACAGAATAAGGGCTTCGCTTTCATAATTTCCCCAGACGAGAAAGATTTAGAAAATCTGAAAAATGTAAAAACTTCTTTATTCGCGTTAGAAACATTTGATATTTTTTTACAGACTTAGATACTTATTTTGTGACATTTTTGGGTATTCATAGCTGTTTGATTTATCCGCTTTCCTTAATAAAATATAAAAAATATGACGGAACAGGATATAAAAGCGTTTAAAACTTTTAACGAATAAAAATAAGTAGTTGTAAATAAATGTATTATTGGCACATTTAACTATAAAGTCCAATTATAACTAATATAATATTTTATTAGAACCCCCCCCCCCCTTTATAAATTAACGAGATTTTTGAAAACATTTTTTAAAGGCTAGTTCCTTTTGATTTGCAAACTTGCTCGTCAACGTTTTTTTGTCAAAAAACTAATTTCCTAAAAAATTGTGACTCATAAATGCATATTTATGGTGCATTGTATAGGAAATTTTTTACTAAAACTTAACAATGTGCTAATATTTGTAAACATATATTTCAATACAAAAAAGAGGGATATCTACATATTTCTATTACATATTTTTTTCAACTTCTATAACGCATACAGGCTCTGTTTTGTAAAAAAGTAGTTTTTGCTTAATTTTATCATTACAGTCACTAGGCTCCTATTACTTTGAAGTACAAATTACACAATGATAGATCAGAGTGTGATTTTTACAAAATGTTGGTTATTAGGTGAAAAATAAAAACGACTTCGTGTCCAGACTATGGCTGTTATTCAAAACGATGGTATGGTTTTTGGCTTTTTCAATAGCCGTATTGGCGTACAAGACATGGCGCCAAATTGAACGCCACGACTCCAAGTTCCATATAACGATAACAGAAATGTTTACTTCGATTCTTGCGTTGTTGCTTGGTAAGCACATTATTGGGATATTAGTAGCTTAGTCCGTTTTAAACGTTAATCTAACTGTTTGTGTACAATTTGTCTAGTACCGTTGGACGTAGCGGTGAGACCATTTAACGCAGGTTTAGCGGATTCTATGCTAGTCTTTAGAAACAACAATTTCCACATCGCATTAATTATTTACTGGATTATTTTCATCGGCGAACATCTCGTGGTAAGTTGTTACTTTCAATACAGGGTGTCTCGTCGAGGATAACACACTGTTCTCCTAGGAAATGAGTGTCTTGTCCTTAACGAACCACCCTGTATGTTAATTTCCACATGGATATATTAAATGTATTCATGCGTGTAAAAGATAGCGATATTACATGTACCTATTGAACGTTTACGCTTGATCCATACAGGATAGTAAGAAAAGGAGTTTGTATTACTTCGCAAGGTCGGCGAGCTGCATCACAACTGTGTGCTCTTTTAACTTGGTGACCAACTGGTGGATAAGAGGTGGCGAATTGAGAAGTAGTTCGTTTGCCTCGGTCGCCGCATCGGAACTGAGCGTTTTCGTATTGGTATCCTTTTTTAAGAAAAATAATAATAAGTCACGTGTCATATTTTTACAAGACAGTGTAAATAACGGGGTAGTATGATAGTAGGTGAACGAACAATAAATAAATTCAGGGATTTGCGCGTTGTTCGCAATGTGCCTGTATATTATATAATTTTCTTTGACCCACACAATCAGGTTAACGTTAAACTATGGACCGCATTGGCTGGAGGCCTCTATTATCCTCTGGTGGCCATAGCTATATGGAAGCACTGCATAAAAAACAAAAGAAGTTTACGCCAATTGACCGACAAACAGTATGATACCATCGAATTCATCGCCCGCGGCATGGAATTCTTGACGGCAGTCACCGTATTATGCATTGTTATGATTGTATTATCGTACTCGAACCCAGTAAGTGGCTGTGTCTACTAGTCAGTAGTTGTTAAAAATAAGATAAAACTCCTAACCTTCCCATTATGATTTAATTTCACTTATTCTATCCTGCCTAGACACTCCACTCGTCTATAATAGCGAGCAACAATTGCCTCGACAACAACGTGTACATTAACGATAACAATCGACATAATATGTGATAGGTACAATACACGGAGGATTATTTTTTTTTAGGATAGTGAAGGAGGCCATTCCCATTATTCAATAGCATCCTATTTCTTCTTCGGCGTGCGGAATGTGCACGCATGTATGTACAATTTTATGGCACGACTTGGACGAAGCGATGGTGAGTATTCTGGTAGTATACTAATTTTGGTATAAATTCAGTTTAGCTCCCAAGCGACGTAGGCGGAGATTGGGGGGGGCTTAGCACCCCCAAAATTATCAATAGCCCCCCCAATTATTTGATCACTTATCAAAGTAATAAATTCCTTAATTAATGGAGTAAAAACTAAAATTATTAATAAGAATAAATTATGAAAATTATTTTAGTTCCAAAACGGCAAAACATTATAACAATGTTTTTGATAATGTTATCATTTCATTTTAATTCGAGTGCTAAATAAAGTTATACATTTTTCAAAAAACGCAATAAATATTGATAAAATTCAAAAGGCTCTAACCCTAAATGTATTCCGATTCAAATTATTTCAAGTCGCCTTGTCTTTGCCAATTAGTTCAGCTACATGCGAACGCAGCTTTTTAGCTATGCGCAAAATTAAGACATGGTTACCTGACATGGTTGCAAGACAGGTTTAATAATTCATCCATATTATACATTGAAAACGATTTAAATATTGATGTAGAAACAATTATTGATATATTTGGATCTAAGAATAAAATAATATGTATTTACTTAAATAATATACAAGTATTATATTATAATTATAATGTTTTTTATTTATACATTTTTAATGTTATATAGTATTATATATTAATAATTTAGGAGTGTAAATCCCTTGCTGGTCATTTTAGGTAGAAAAATGCTAGCCCCCCCAAAAAATTAATGAAATCTCCGCCTATGCCAAGCGATTTAAAAAAAAACACACGACTGCTACTAAAAGTTGTATACAAAATATGTGTATGCAGTGCCGCATTGTGACTACTAAAATAATGCCTTTTGATTTCAGATGGCGAAACCGTTGATGTCGCTGACATACCCTGAGGACGACCAAGATATCAATTCGTTAGTGCCAAATAGCTTCTCATATTAGAAAATTAGTTTTTGATCGAGCGTCATCGCCATTAGTATAATATTATAGTTCTTAGTATTCGACATTAGATGAAAAAAACATTAAGTTGATCAGTAGCCTCTGACATTGAGATTAACACAATTAATAATAATATATTTAATTACACACTATATATATATATATGATGACCTTTATTTGGTCATTATATTTCTTGATTTTCAAATGTAGGTATATACAATAAGACAGTGCACGTTTATTATAGTAACTAGTCTCAATGATAACTTAGAGCCAAGTTTTAAAATCGACGGGTAAATTGCAGTTTAATATTTTTTGAGTTTTAATTAGAGTATCAAAATAAAATAAAATATGTATAATATATAAATATGTCCATTATCCTCATTTTCACCGTAGAATTATATTAAAAGGATCTGAGGATAATTTACCGTGAATAATTACATTTTTTTTTTGTATTCTATACCTTATCGTTTACAAATAATTGTTTTACGTACCAACTACCGTATTATACTTGTCAAATGTGTCATAACCAATTCTAGTCATTGAAATTTATTAAATATACCTACATAATAAACTATACTTGCAGTCTATTCTTTAACTATATATATATATATATTTTACTTCCTCATCGTGTCTTGTATTCATCCAACCAAATCCTCTTGTCTATGTTTCATTATCTTATATTATGTATGTTTGTTAACCGTTGAAAAATCGTTAAATTTTAAAAATAATTTTTGTACTTAAAGTCGTGCAATTTTTTTTTATATTTTCGCAATAAAAACAAGTCTAGTTTACTAGCCACCTTAGATACTAGCTTGATCTATAACACTACTCTAAATTTATTCGGTACTTTCAACGAGACATGAAAATGCTCTTTCGTGCAGACTCGGTTGAATTTTTTTTTCATACTTAGGTATTATTGTGACACATTCTAGTTTCTTCAGTGCAGTGTTCCTTATTTTCACGTTTAACGGTTGTACTTGTCCGACAGGCAGCAGGTGAGTTCGGGCGAGGTTATTTTGATTTAACGGGTTGGTTTTGCAGCTGTACAAACCACTTCGAATGCACCCATAGAAGGTATAGGGGATGACTATTTTTTACTTTATTTTGCTTTGAACTACAACGAGTCTGCGATAGCCAATTTGGTAGAAATTATATTTTGTTGAAAAATATTTTGTGTTGTCTAAAATATATTCAGCACCAAAAATCAATGCACAGGTATTTAAATTTATTTCACGTGAGTTACTTGTGTAATTTTGTGAAGCCTATTTTTAGTTAACGAAAAAAAATTTTAAAAAACCTATCACAGTCTTGATAATCAGAGTTGGGCATTATTTAGATAATTTTTTATCTAGATAATTATCTAAATAATTTTTTTATTCGAATGACCGTCGAATAATTTTGTTTATTCCAATGACCGACGAATAATTTTTTTATTCGAACAATTACTATTAAAATAAAAAAACTGAATAAATTCTCTTTATTCCAAGTAGTTTTGAATATTTTTTTTTCTATGATAATTATTTAAATTTTTATCATAATTAAAAAAAATGTATTGCGACTTTATTTGAATGAGTTAAACAATCATTAATTTTTTTGTCTTAGTGGATTTAAGCTTTCGATACGACTTATTCATATTATGGGTTTTTCAAAAGATTAATTGAGGGGATTGTATGCGGTCTGTTTTTTGACGTTTTAGACAAAAAGCCATACAAAATGTTGACTATTTACAATAGTCCGATTTCAATATGTACTAGTTCTTTGGCAACTTTACTAGGTTATGTTGGAAGCGCTTTTTTATATTTTTATATGAAAAATTATATAAATTAAAAATAGTACCTTGAAGGTTATACAAATTAACCGGAAAATTAATTAACATGGTCGACATCTTTTACCCCTTGGTTGCCCGAACAAAGAAAAAACCAAATGTCAGTTGTCACCAAATTTCTTTTCGTTAAATTCGTTTAAATACATATTCTAAACTATAATAAATTTGAATAAAAAAAAAATTTACATTAGTTTTTTAAATATAGTGATGTAAAGTAAAGTACCGTCGGTCACAACAGTATTTTTTATGTGGTACTTATTTGTACCGACGGTCTCATACGTACATTTTTTTTAATATTGTAGGTATAGGAAATATTTTTTTAAAAAAATGATTCGAATAAATCATCTTAGATTTGGTCGAATAACAAAATTATTCCAACAAATTTGTTGTTATTCGTTAGTCGAATAAAAAGTGCCAAACTCTGTTGATAATTATATATTTTATAGCCAGTATAATTATTGGTCTGTCATTATTATTTCTTAGACGAGACGTGGGTGAATGCAGGCGAGTGTTGTAGTAGAGTGTGGTTAGACAATTCAATAAAATCGCATAGAGATGCATTCCACAAAGGATATCTATCTACAGCGCCAAAAAATCCAACAGGCAAGGGCAAGCGGTTGATTGTTGTACATATAGGCTCAGCAGAGGGTTTCGTCGAGGGTGGTCTACTGTGTTTTGAATCCAAAAAACACACAGCAGACTACCAAGATAAAATTAATGGAGATACATTTTATGACTGGTTTTACGGAGTTTTGCCCAGATTAACAGAGAGCTTTGTAATAGTGATGGACAATGTTTAGTACCACTCAGTCAATAAGGACCCCATCCCTACAATAGCTTTGAAAAAAGACGAAATAGTAGTTAATACAATGGTTAACGTCCAAATGTTGTATTATCGATAAGCCGGTGGTCAAATGTCTATCGATGGAAAGAGTTCGAGAAATTAGACCTGTTCATGATAAATATGTTAAAGATAAAGAAGCTTTAAAATCAAATAAAGTGGTATTACCCCATGCATGGGGTAAAATTCCTAATTTTTATTATTTGTAAATAATGATTTAAAGGTATAAAAAAAAAGTTTAGTCCATAAATTAACAATCTTTATAAGTTTATAGAGCATATTAAAATGTTTATCACACTTTTAAAACCAAATAATAGAAAACGCGCACTAAAACCCCAGACTGCTCTAGTACTTACTTAACTATTATAGTAACTAATAATAATTATTTTTTTACTATAGATAACCCTTTGATATATCGTACTTTATTTATCATCAACGCCAAAAACCACAGACTGAGAACTCGGTGAGTAAACTTTTTGAAAGTAGAAAAAATTTCTGAAAATTTTGACTGGTCAGTAACCAGTTATGAAAACTTGCTTTTTAAGTTATTAAAGTTTAAAATTTAATACGGGAGGAAGAGTGGAGTGTAGTATTATTTGCATTTCATCAAAAGCACTCTTCTTGTTCTAAATTTTAAACTTAAATCAATTTAAAAGTAAATATATAAAACTGGTTATCGTCTAAGCAATGTTTTTCTATTTTCAAAACGTTTATTAAACATATACGTTCCCGTTAACGTTTTAAAAGTCGATAACGCTCTGGAAAATACTAAAAAAGGATAAATATTTGGTAATATTATAATATTGTACAATGACATAAATGAAAAGTTTTCAAATATCGAAAAATAATTATAAAGTTGTAGAATTAAGAATTCGCATCGAAGCGTTTAACTTAAGAAATTGGTCCGGCGGTTTAGAAGAAACCGAAGCAGGCGCGGATCCAGCTTGTGTTAACGGGAGGGGCGGTTTAGTAATGCATTTATAAGTATATATATATATATATATATATATATACAACGTATCCAATAAGACATTAGGACCTATTGAAGTATTGAACCCTGCGGTCAATATGAACGGCACGGGTTGTGCAGCTAGCGATAGGTACAAGATAATATTTGTAGACCAAACAATATAAAATCAGATCCTATTTTTGACAAAAAAAAAGAAGACACATGGCAGTCCTCGGCCGCCGGTGTGAATATTAGTCTGCGTTCACTCTGATAGAGATTTTATTTGTAATATTACATAAAATTGATTTATGAACAATAAAAAACAAAAGTTTTGCCCCAAAATTAAAATAGCAAATACTATGATATAGCCAACGGGGGGGGGGCGGCCGCACCTACCCCCCCCCCCTGAATCCGCGCCTGAACCGAAGAAATCGGTTCAGAGACTTATCGCGGGTACAGACACAAAAATAAAAACACGTTTTTATGTCATTAAATCCAGAATGTCATAATGTATAATGAGTGATTAATTTTTTGTCAATAAAATTTTAATTCAAGTTGTGAAAAATAAAAAAAAATAAAATGTTCTTGTTGAGAAAAAAAAAGTTCTCGGGATAGAAATTTCTGTTATACATTTTAAGATATACGGTGTTTAGAACCTTTTGATTACACACTTAAAAAATATATTATTGTGTCGTTAATAAAATAATGGCAACAAGGCACCTTTAGTTTATCTATTCCATTGACTACCAAAAGGGGTTAACTACGTCTCATGGTTATCGGACTAATCAGATTATCGGAGTAAATATAGTTTTTCTGTATCTATGCCAATTTAAATCATTTTAATTTGAAAATTGCACATTATTCCCTAACAAACTTTTCTTATAAATTAAAACCATTTTTGAAAAAATTGACATTAGAACCCTTAGTTTCCCAGCACACTCATGGCAAAACCTATAAATGCTCGGAGTACCAGCTGCCGAGCGCGCTACAATAATAAATTATACATTTTAATCACGCGTTGTTGTTGTTTTACTTACATACAATAATATTAAGTATTATTATTTTAGAAGTCTTCTGTCTTTTGACGACACCGCGTTTGTTTGTTCGTGTGAATATTGTGATCACTTGCCGCTGCATAATGGGAGTGCCGACCGCCTTTTCTGGGGTGTGATTGGTTTGCCGTTGACGTTGACGGCTAAACGCATCTGCTGGCAAACCCATCAGTCATCGGTGACCACCGGCCAGTCGTCCATCGGTCATCGTTGTCATTATTGTACTGTTGTCCGGTCGTTGCGTTTGACCGCGGTTGCATCTAATATAGGTAGTCGTCATGTCTAACATCATCAACGAAGTCAAGTTGGACTTCAAAGACGTGTTGCTCAGACCCAAAAGAAGCACGCTGAAGACCCGGGCCGAGGTGAGTTTTCCTGGATTATATTGAATCAACTGGATTTTACTTTTTAGTGATGTAAAAACATATTTTGAAACATTTTCGAAACACTATACACAAATACATTACAACAATTTAATACGTATTTAATTATATAGCAATAAAATAACTGTAAAAAATTTAATACACTTAAAAATTTTAAATGTCGAGAGAACGCTTCGCCACTTATTTATTTAAAGTTGGCGGTTTTTTTGTAAAATCTTAATTAATATCTTTAACTTGAGCTTACTTATAATATAAAATTTATAATTATTAATATTATTTACCAACTAAGTAACGAAGATTACCTATTGGAAGTTATTTTTCTATCATAACCGCGCTCTGATATTTGTTACAATAAAATATTTTGTTATTTTAGCTATTAGTTATTTTAAAGTTGATTTGTTTTGATATTGTAATTGTTAACAATTATAATTGTAATTTAATTACAAGTCTTAACAGTAAACATCAAAATATATAAAAAATACGTTTTAGAGAACTAAATATTTTTTAATAAACATAGGTAATTGCATAACTGCAACAGTAATAAATTTTATAAAAAAAAAATAAAAGAAAACGTGATAAGGAATCTTTTTAATTTAGATATAGTGTCATAAACATTAATTTATAAACATCACTTTATATTTTAATATCGACCTAACGGCTTTTTCTAGTTTTTTTTTTAGTACAATTTTTTTATTTAAAATAATAATATTTTAAAATATATATAACCCATTGGGTCCTGTATTTGGTATATTCATATATTTTTATAGATATATTTAATCTATTATAATAGATGTGTACAGCTATGTAATATTAAATATTGTAAATATATTATTTTTTACAATACTTATAGGGACAGACTTTGCACTTATTATATTAGTAACTATAAAAAGGAGTTTTAAATACACTTTGGTAATAGCATAAGTTGTTGAAACATGCTCAGGATGTTTTTTTTTGTTTCATAACAGTAAAAAACGGTATACTACCTTAAACCTCATCTACCAACTTCACTTATAATACATTTTTTTTTCATATCAGTACAAACATTGCTAAATGCTCATTTGATTTATCCAAAAAAAATTTCGGTTGTACTCAGGTGGATCTGTACCGGCATATTATGTTTCGGAATTCGAGGCGTACGTACCAAGGCATTCCTCTGATAGCGTCAAACATGGACACAGTGGGTACTTTTGAGATGGCTGCTGTTTTTGGAAAGGTGAGAATTTTATTTGTATTAGTATAATACTATAAGTAGACAAGGACTTAAATAATTGTTAGATGAATGAATTCAAAGATAAAGGTAGACCATATGAGTGGATAATATTGTTATAAAATATAATATTATTTGCTTAGAGATGTGCAGATTGAGTACGGTGTCTAAAATAGTTCTTGTACAGAATAAGGTTAGAATTTAGAAATAATATAGTCATCAGTTTACAAAATGTACAACTATAAAAGTTAACAGTTTAAAACTACAAGGCAATTGTGTATTCGACTAATAATATAAACCGTGGACATTAATTTTTTTTTTTTTTAAATTAACAGAGATAAAAATACAATTATTGTAAGTATGTAATTTTACATTATCATTTTTCTTTTTAAATTACATTTTACTAATAAAAACTTTTAATGACCAAAATTCATCTTTTGTTGTATCTGTATCTGAGCTCAAATTTCCTACAGCACGCCTAGTTTTTTTTTAAACCACCTCCAAAGCTAAAAAACCAGCATTTGTGGTATTTTCAGTGTGTTTGGAACGTTTAAGTATTTTGTAAATGTATTTAAAATTTCAGTTTTCATTCTACTTTTTTGTTTTTGCTGAATTCAGCACTGGTTTTCGATTAATGTAGATTTATTTTAAATGTATTGGCTATTGCAACTCAAAAGAAAACGAACAAAATCAATATTCTATCTGTCACAATTAACCTTAGGGAATTAGGTTTCTAAACAAATTAAGTTTGAGACACCTTATTCCGGTTGTATCAATCAGCCTGTTTGTCTATCCATATGATAAGGATATGAAATCCTAAATAATATAAAAATATAAAAGCTTAATGAATCTGGTTAATCTCCTTGAAAAATATAACGTTGTATTTAATGAAACTTAAAAATTAACCATCTTAGTACTACTAAACATTCCTGATTCCAGTATCCAGCGCAGCAATGTTAAAGGACTTTTTTCTTAAAAAACTATATGAGAAACCGTATATCAAATGACCGACTGGTCATTTTGTCAAGTGTTTAAAAAAAAAAATTGCTTAAAGTTTGGATGAATTTATATGAATAGGTTCTCAATAAAACATAAAAATACTTTTATATGAAAACATTAATTATGATGATTGTATTTTATTTACAATATCGCATCTACATATTGGATGTTTGGATTTTATTGACTGCTGTAATATTGTAATGTATTACCTATTAACATTTTTAAAAGGTGAATTTAAAAATAATGAATGTTCAATGTTATTAAAGCATTTGTATTTGATTTTATTTATAAATTTATCATTTAATTGTTTATGTATTTTATGGTGTTTTTTTAATTACACTTTTTGGCAAAATGATAAAATATGGTATTATTAGATTATATGTTTGCAGGGCCGGACTTAGAGGGGTGTGGGGGGGGGGTTTGACACCTCCCCACTCGGGAAACTCAAGTATACCTAGTCGGCACATTCCGAACAAAAAGTCGGTAAATATTATATCCCCCATAAAATTATACAAATAACATATTTATTATTTTTATTTTATAAAAGTAGGTAGGTACATAATTTTTATTGGAATCTAGCGACGAATAGTGAATAGTCGGCATACGGACGACCATACGAAAATATAATTTTAGTTTTTAGTAAAAAAAAAACAATGCATTTTCGGTAATTCCCGATTTTAGCAGAAGTATTATTATTTGTTTATAATAGTTGTGGTGTATATTATTATATCAAACGATGTTCGGTCATGGGACCTATTGGTCTATTGTAAACAAACATTCTATCCCTCTATAAGTATATATTTTTATTTTAGTTTTGAAATTCTAAAAAATTCCCTACTATAAAAAAAAAACCTACTCTTCTGTTTTAGACATATCACATAACCCATAGTATTAAGTCTGCAGGCAAATAGTTAGCGGTTTATTTTTGCTTGTGCCGTGTGCGCGTGTAAAATAATAAGTATTGGTTATAAATGTGTGTAATCTAATATATATATATGAGATTATATATCTAATATATATATCAGATTTTTAAGGCCTATGAGAGTTCCTTGGTACTACTTCACTATGTCTTGTTTCTTCTTTATTACTATCGTTGCGGTGGGATATTACCTACTATAATATCCTACTATACTATATATATAGCGAGCAGGGAGCAGACATGAGCATTATTTTTAAATAGTGTACCTAACTAAAATAAAAATAAAATTGTATTTAGATAATAACTCATAAAAAAATACACGTTTGTTTTTATTTCAAAGACTTTAATAATAATTTTGAATACAGTTTCATTATTTTTTATAAAATTATTTAAAATAAGGCTATTTGTATTATATCTCGGTTAAATTGCAGTTTCAACTGCAATACGTTATAATTATGTTAAATAAATTCAAACATTTTTAAAATAATGCTTTTAAAGTAGGGCTCAAATTGTTTTAGTATTGGTGACTGAGAATTGAAAATGTAGTAATAAATAAATTTGTTAGCTGCCTAAATATTTCTATGCTCCAAAAACATTTTAAAAACCAAAAAAATCAAGTCACAAAATGTCATAAAATATTTACGAAAGTACCCAAATATTTTAGTTGGCAATTCAAATTTTAAAGTCGGCAGTTTCATTTTGTCACCCCCCCTTGCATATTTCTTAGCACCGGCCCTGTATGTTTGTAGTAATGATATGCTGATAACTCCTTTTTTTATAATATAAAAAATGTCGGGAAGAAGGGCCCACCTAGAGAATATTTTCTGGCTATTTGCCTGCTGCCGATCTATGTGTTTCAGCGGTTGCCAAGGTGAATATCGATAATCAATAATCATTTGTCCTTACATTTTGTTATCTATAATATATTTTGCTATCCATTTTGTTTTTTTTTTTAATTGAATGATGTATATTATTTAAAGTCAATTATCAATTTAAAGTTCAGAGGAGACTTGTAAGTAAATTAAGATATATTATTTATTTAGGTTTCTAAACAGTAAACAAACTAAACATAAGAGTAACACAGGTTACAATAAGCGTTTACAAATTATTTATGAAATTTTGGTTTATTTAAAATACATTTTGAAACCGGGAATTTAGCTTTTCTGACTTTACTGTACAAATATTAATTGAAGGATCGGTCCGAACAACGTGCTAAGAACCAATCGGTACATTTTCTAGTATCACAGTAAGAAAAATTTACATTAGTTGGCTTGATAGGTTTCTCCGCGGACCACGCTCATTGCAAGATGATTCATATTGATTCATACATAAGTGAATAGGTCAAAGTTTAAAATTTAGGACGGGAGGGAAACAGTTTTCAAAAAGAAACATTACAAAATTGCAGTTAGTTCGTCGATCCATAAATATAATTCCCGGTGTTGTAAGGAATACATTAGCAAAACAAATTTAAAAAATACTACCCAAATGTGGATGTGAGCGCACAAAGCAATAAAAAAATAGTAGGAATTAAAACAATTTTTTAAACACTGTCGAAAATCAAAATTATGAATAAATACCTGACACGGCACCGTCGACTTGGTCATGCGATAACCGGTGGACGAACATCGTCCACCTGTGCGACCAGTGTCAAAGTCCGTCCACCCGGACGGATCGACCGGCGGCTAACGCCGATTGCCCGGTCTGTTCGGTTTTCGCCTCGCCCGCGGAATCACGCTTCCGCCCCCTTGTCCCACACCTCCGTCCCATTTCCCAACAATATATATTTTATTTTCATTTTTTTTACTCTCGTGTTCGTGGAGATCATTTAATAAATGGGCTTACGCCCAGTACCACGGACCAAATGTTGTGTTAAATTATTTATTTATTTTTATTATTTCCCCGTGTCTCTTTTTTTTTAAATTTGAGGTGCGATCCTTTAAACGGGTCCCTGTCATGGCTGTATGTAAACTGCGCCAAAAAAAAATTTAAACATTATACAAACTGCGACAAAGATGATAAGGTACATTCTACAAACTGCGACAATTTATTTTATATACCTACTATATAGTATATAATATACTATAGTCTATAATACATACCGAAAACCGATAAGAATGCTATCTTGTACCATATATTATTATAGGTCTATGGTGTGCACATAGTCAATAGAAGTAAAGGTGTAAAAATTAAAATTAAAAAACAATTTTAAAATACATATTAAATTGAAAAATATTATTATTTAACTAACATTAAATTGTACATCTAATAATAGTAATAAGTTTTATAGACTACTGTAATATAATACTGTCTAAGAAAATACAAAATTGAAATAATAATACATTTTTTTTTTTTTTTGTTGTTCGTTTATAAATTTGTATTTTTGAGTAGTAATTTTATTTCGTTGTTGTATTATACCTTCTTCTGCACTCCTAACTTTTATGTATGTATCAACTTGAATATATTGTAGAACATGTATAAATGTATATAGTGACGGATGATAATGATGATAAAAATATGCATTAAATTTTGAAGGGAAAGATTCACTTACATTATTTGTTAAAACTTCTAATGATGATGCCCACAAAAAAGGAGGCAATATACCTTCCATATAAGTTTCTGTTAAATAATCGCAGAATTGTACTACACGAGTATATGTTACCGTATCAGTATGTATTATTGTACATAGCTAATATAAGTATATTATATACTATATAGTAGGTATATAAAATAAATTGTCGCAGTTTGTAGAATGCGCCTTATCATTTTTGTCGCAGTTTGTATAATGTTTAAATTTTTTTTGCCGCAGTTTACCATCTCCCCCTGTCATACCTACACAATTGTTACATAATATTCTATATACAGTCGTGCGCCTATTACCCGGAAACGGAACGCTGATGTCGAGTACAACAAAAAAAAAAGTAGCCGTTCAATGGCTTGAAGATGATTTGGGCGACAGCGATTTGGACGAGGGCAAGTGTGACACGAAAGTCGCTCCGCGCGTCGTGGCCATTGTGAAAGACGCCAAAACCAAGTTGGTCGGCATAGTGATTGGCGGCGGTCTGCCGCAATGTTCGTGTGTGTACGTCAAACAGGTCACCGACAAGTCGCCGGCCGCCGTCGACGGTTCGCTGGAGAGCGGCGACGAACTGTTGGCCGTCAACAACGCGCGCGTGCGCGGCTGTACGAGACAGCAAGTGGCGGAAATGATCCGGTCGAGCGCGGACCCAGTGGTGTTCAGGTACAGTAAATTGCACGCGGACAGCCGACAGGGCAAAACGTTGGACATCATACTCAAGAAGGTCAAACACCGGCTGGTGGAACGCGTGTCGTCCGCCAAAGCCGACTATTGGGGCATCACCCGCGCCGTGCTGGTCAACGACGACGTGGTCAAACGGCAACAGCAGCTGGACCACATCGAACAGTTCTACCGGTGCCTGTTGGACCGCACGGACTGCTGGCTGCGTCTGTTGTTCGACCTAGCGCGGTGTTGCGGCCAATTCGGCGACGCCTTTGCCGAAATCGCCGACCGGGAACCCCAACAGCAGGCGCGTCGAGTGCTGACACGGTTCGCGGCCTACCACAGGCGAATGGACCGGCACGGCGTGGCTGCGGTCCAAGTGCTCAAACCCGCCGTGCATTCGTTCGACGCGTGTATGCAAAAAGCCATTCCCGACACCAGGCAGACGATACGCAAGTACGCCGACGCCAAGTTCGAGTACCTGGCCTACTGTCTGAAAGTCAAAGAGCTGTACGACGAAGAAAACGCCTACCGGTTGGCCGACCAGCCGCTGTGCCGGTTGGAGACCGGCAACTACGAGTACAGGCTGGTGTTGAGATGCCAGCAGATGGCCCGCAAGCGGTTTTTGGAGCTGCGAAAGGACGTGCTGGCCAAAATCGAACTGATTGAAAACAATCACGTGCACAAAATCGCCGGCCATTTGCGCACAATTGCATCCGAAATGGCAAAGTTCAACCGCAGTATACGCCATATGGCGGCTTCAAAGGTACACGGCGAACCATGTGACGGGGCACCGCTGTTTCCGATACAATTGCACTTACCTCGTTCGGCGCTTCAATGCGAATCGGTCCGGTCTGCTGAACATTTGTCCGGCGATTTCTTCGAAGCCAACAACGAAGATGATTCGTACCCACTGGTACTTTGGGACGACACTGCCGAAGATTTCCCATCGTCGCCGAATCGGCAACAGAACACATGTGTCGGCTGCCATATGTACTTGCCACCTATTTGACTATTTGAATAATTTAAATAATAGTTGTTAATTAATAATTTTTTTTTGTAAGACAGTTGGATAAAAGCCGTGGTGTTTATAGAGCAAATGAGTATAAATTTGTTTAAAAAAAAAAAAAAACTAAAAAATATTCACTAGAACAAAAGTTTATATCTTTGTGAAACATCCAGTATACGTTTTGTCACGTGTAGGTATACAAAAAAGCATTAAAATTCCAATTAACACAGAATCGATTTAAGTCCCGGAATAAAAACATGTCTGCCTAATATGTGAAAATATATTTAATATAAAAAACATAATTAGGTGTATATATTTTTTTTCCAAATAAATTATATATTATAATTTTTATTTGGATAACGAGACAAATTTTAATTCCTGAAACAAATATTAAAAAAAAAAAAAAAACAGTTAAATAACAACAAGATATTGCTAAGAGAGATAACTATCTTGGTTTTAGAGGAAAACCACGTTTCCCTGAATCATTATTACGTTAAAATGTTAAGACAAATTGTCAGGGAAATCTATATAGTTTTATATAACTTTGTACTCATAAACAATTTTTAAATAAAAATATATTTGACCTGAATCAAAATTATTTTTGTACCATAATAACTTGAATATACGTATAAGAACTATGTACCTATACATTAATTATAAATATATTTAGAAAATACAACCCAAATGTGGATGTGAATCATTTTATAAGCGGGCAAAAATGATTTTTGATATGTTAAAAAAACATATTGCAATTTATTTCGCTGCATGGGCAAAAAATGCAATTAAAATGCTTTAAATAAAAATACGTATTGTAAAAAAATATTAGATAGGTATATACTGACTAAAGTATTAAAACACTAGTATAGGTAACTCAAATATTTTACAAAACTGTTGCGACCCAATGTTGTACAATTTTGTCAACATGTTATTTAGTGTTAAAGTAGTCTCAAAAGTCAATGCGATTTCATCCTAGACTGCAAACATTTTTAAATGTTGTCAACCAAATTGATAGCCATTTTAAACACAGTCTTTGTCTTGAAAGGTGGTTCAGTGTTTTAAAAATATTACTCTCTTTTTATAAAATAATATATATTTTTTTTTTTTTGTAAAATACCTACATTAAATTGATAATTTTGTAACGAGTTGTGTTGTGATTACAATTTTCATTTTTGGACCTTCCCCTGTGATGGCCATTTTCTTTATTAGCTTTGAACAACTCTTAAATGAATTAATTTGTATTTTTTTCGGTTAAGCATGGCGTATTCACTACTATCCATAAGTATTACGAGGTGGACGAGTGGCTGGTGTTCGCCAATGAAAATCCGACAATTCTGGATCATGTCGCCGTCAGTTGTGGCATAAGCGAGGCCGATTTTCAAAAATTGGGCAAAATTTTGGCTGCTGTTCCCGGCGTGTCGTTCATATGCTTGGACGTTGCCAACGGCTACACACAGCAGTTTGTGGACATTGTACGGAAGACCCGAAACACTTATCCACAACATACGATTATTGTGAGAGAAGACAATATTATTTCAGATTTGAAAATTTCACTTTCACAGAAGTCAGTGACGGTCTGTCTCTGACTTCTGCCAAACACACAATTGTTGGAAAAGATTCAACAAGAAGTTCATCTAATATTTTCCATCTGGAAATGGTTAAAGGTGTTAACTGACACAATTTCAAAACTGTTCAGGAGGCAACGTTTTAGTCATATGCTTGGAATTTTTAAGTTCAACTGTTAAATAATATTTTGCTAAAGTGTGTAATATTATAACCTAACACTTTCATGTAATTCAAACTAAAAATTATTTTACAAAAAAATGTCAGTCAACACCTTCATCCATTTACCCTCTCAATTCATTTAATACACGATTGGCCAGTCTGTCTCGGGGTAAATTTTAATATAGAGTACATTTATTAAAATCCATTTAATGTCTATAAAGCTTACAATACTATATAATACAGTACAGTCACCGTTTATTGGACTCGCAAGTTATTGTTGACTTACATTATACATTGGTTAATTGGGTCAACCGAAGTCTGAACCATAGATATTGGTCGGTTAATGTGTCATTATTTTTAACATTATTTTCCCTAACCTAACCCTTTCAATCAAAAGAGGTAGAACTTAGATGGATAAAGTCAAAAACTAATTAAAGAAAAACTTAAAATTCGATTTTTAAGTGAGTTTTTAGGGCGCATAAGATCCGAAAATTAGACTGATGGTAGATTTGGAATGTTTAACATAAACTAATTTTTTTCTAGATCTAGTCACTTTTTTTTTATAGGAATAGCCATTTTTTATTGCTTAAAACAATTTTAGTCTGTTAAAACAACATACACATTTTCTGGTTATTTAGCTATTTACAAAAATCGAATCAGATCTTTTTTAACGGGATGAATAAAAAGTCATTATGTTTTTTTTAAATTAACTATAAAGTTCTTATAATATTAATAGTTGCAAATCTAGGAATTTATCAGCAAATTTTAACAGTTTCCAACACGTATCACCCTCAAAAATTAAACCACTATATTTTTACTAATGCTTAAGGTTTGATTCTATGAGCTACTGTGATACAAATTTATTAAGTAAAAAAAAATTCACCAATTTTTCTTTTTGCATTTTCCCAGTGATAAAAAAATCTAATTCGATTTTTGTAAATAGGTACATAAAAAAATGTGTTATAATAAAAAAAATTATTGGCCATGTCAGTTTTTTAGGCGGTTTTAGGGAAACTTTGAATTGGTGAACTATGCTAACTTCAAAATTGCTCTAATTTTAAGAAAAAAATAAGCGTTTTATCCTTAACAAGTTGACTGGCAAGCTATATAAGAGTCGAGTATGATACAAAAGCCAGTCAACTTGTTAATAAATATTGTACAACATAATGATTATTTCTATTAACTGATCGGCAAATGTATTCAGTGTAATAAAAATATAACAAAATTGGGTTCCAAATTAGAATAAAAAAATGACAAGTGACCAATTATAAAATTTGATGAAAACTATAATTTATGAAATCATGCGATTAGCTTCAATCTTCCCCAAAACGGTTTCAAGGTTATTAAACTAAACTACGCACAACAATTAAGAGCAAAAGAAACATTTTGATTTCTTTGAAAGCGCATCCGATCTTGTGAACGGTTGAGATAATTGTTTTAAAAAAAAGCTTTTCTTTAGTCTGAAAAAAAATCAAAATTGGAGATGGGCTAAAGTGATCTATATTAGTGTTTTTTTATTTTTATTTTTAAATACATTTTGTCGATACACAGGCAGGCAACGTGGTCACCGGCGAAATGGTGGAAGAACTGATATTGTCCGGCGCCGATATTATCAAAGTCGGGATAGGTCCTGGATCGGTGTGCACTACACGCATCAAGACCGGAGTAGGATATCCGCAGCTGAGCGCCGTGATCGAATGTGCTGATGCTGCACACGGTCTACAAGGCCACATCATTTCCGTACGTATCGTTTTCATTTAATAGAATACCAGCTTGTTATTTCAATATTTGGCTTAAGGAATATTATGCGAAGCCTCGGGTGATATAGGGGAAGTTATTGATAAGAAAATCGGACGATTGATAAGAGAACTGACTGATAAAAGTGGAGACCAAGGAAGGAAACTGGAAAGTGAAGACATATTCGTAATACAATGTTATTTGTTTGCTACATTTTCTACTCGTTGCGCAGTTGATATTTATTATTTTCAATATGGCCAATATTTCCCCCCACTCGTTAAGTAACTTTTTTTTTTTTTGAACATTTTATATTATCAGTGCTTTATGAAATTCGGTTACTATTCAAATATTAAAAAATAAATTTTTAATTTATTTCTAAAAAAAAAATGAATTACAAATAATCAGAAAATCGGTAATTGAATGATTAATTTAGCGAAAAATATTTTTAAAAAAAAAAAGAAGATTAATATTGTATCTTTATATTTATCATAACCGGGTATTGTATTATAGGAAAGTCTCTTAGATTCGAAAAAAGGATGCATGCTGGCTTTTTAAGTATAGTTTTGACAAATATGAACTTTTATTACAAATGAGCAAAACACGTTTTTTGAACTCTATTTAAAGTTCGATTTATTATTTTTCACTTTTCAAGAAAAAGAAGCTTAAAAACTGCCAGAAATTATAATAATAATTCAACCAAAACATATTCGTTCAGGAGATGGTAATTGTTTAAAGTCAAATAGCACCATACAGTGTAGGTACTAATTAACATACTGTGTATTGTTTTCCCATTAAAAGTAGGATGATAATATAACGACTAGTTGATAGCCAGTTTTGAATACTTACCTTAAGCGTTTAAAACGTACAAGCTAAGAAAGAAGTGTGGGCTAAGATTTAAATAACATTAATCTGCTTCACCCCATCGTTTATGCGCTTAAAAACTTTTAAAAAAATGAAATGATAACGGGTGTTATCATTTTAATTATATCGCTCCAATTAATAGACAAATCAAATGTGAGTGTTGCTACTTGAGATTTAAAAGAAAAATTACCTACCCTCTAAAATATATATATTTTTTTTTTACTGTAAGATTTATATTCAGTATAGATTAAATTACTGTAACGTGGACTTCGGGTCATTGAGTATTAAAACAACAAGGAATTCTTCTAAGAAGTGCTACACACTTGTAAAAATAATGATTTTATCCAAATTTTGTGCATAAAATATTTTGATTAATACAAAAATGTACACATTAATTAATTTTTAAAATTATAAAAAATTGGGTTTTACACTTAGCAATGTTCTCTGATGGGACTAATAGCTTGCGCTAGACGGTGTTTATAACTAAAATTTTGTTTAATCCATTATTAGCGCCTAGCGTTGCCATATGGCAACATCCAATTTTTTAAAATTTTTAAATACATAAATTTCTTTCTTTTTTTTTTTAATTCAAAAAATAATTTAAAAAAAAAAATCCGGCGTTAATGGGTTAATCATTTTAACTAAAATTTTTTAAAAAATTGTGTTATAATGAAAGGACGGTGGATGTGTTTGTCCCGGTGACGTTGCCAAAGCATTCGGTGCGGGTGCCGATTATGTAATGCTTGGGGGAATGCTGGCCGGGCACGATGAAAGCGGCGGTGAGCTGACCATCAAGTCCGACGGTACCAAATGCAAATCTTTTTACGGCATGAGTTCGCTGACAGCGATGAAAAAGCACTCTGGCGGCAAAGCTGAGTACAGGTAACCATAAAATTGTTTTAATTTTGAAAAAAGTTTCTTTAAGCCAAAATATCTTAAACTTGAAAATCCTTCTTTTTATATTTTGTGATAAAACTTTATTTTATAAGTTATTAGTTTTATCAACTTAAATGGTCTCTAACTTGATAACAATTATAATTTTTTAAAATATCAAATTAGTGATAAATATATTTTGTTATATTTCAGCTTGAAGATTTTAGTTTAACTGTAAAATTGTTCCATTAGTTTTTCAGTTAGAATACTATAAATGAAAAACTAAAATTTTTCAAAAAATAAGGAAGCACTTAAAGAGTTAAGCTAAGGGATTTTGAAATTTTAGAGTTTCTTATTTGAATAGGCTAGTTTTGATTTTGGTTAAGTAAAAAAAAAAAATTATGTCATTTACATTAGAAAGGTACCTCCTACTTCATGTTTTAAAATGTATGTTAATTAGAGCGGCCGAAGGAAAAGCCGTGGAAGTGCCGTACAGAGGCAAGGTAAACGACACTCTTTTAGACATACTGGGCGGTCTTCGATCGGCGTGCACTTACACAGGTGCTCACAAGCTCAAAGAGCTACCAAGGCGTTCCACATTCATCCGTTGTACGCAACAAGTAAATCCCGTATATTCCAATATTGCTGCTAAAGAATAGATGTTAGGCAAGTCATATAAAAACAAAAAAAACAAAATAAGTGCACACAAAGATATTTTATTATTATAATATTTGAATAATTAAAAGTACATTAGAGTACAAGATTGTTTTTTTCTTAAACATCACACGATTTTTTTTCTTCTAACAAGCAAAATTAACTTTATTTAATCACACTATTTATTTTAATCATGGCAATCATTTTTTTTCTTCTAACAAGCAAAATTAACTTTACTTAATCACACTATTTATTTTAATCATGGCAATCATTTTTTTTTTTTATTATATATATATATATAATTAAACATAGATAAGATATATAATATTATAGTATACCTAGCTTTTTTTTACAATATTACATTCGGTGTTTGTAGTAAGTCAGTTAAAATTTTAAGCAAACCTAAGATTATAGAAAATAATACATTTAACACACTTTGTAAAACATTTATGACTATTATATTATATATTAAAAGAATCATATTGCACCTAACATATTGTGTTTGTCTTTAATTTTATTATATTTTTTTTCGGATAAATTTTACAAATCACACAACTTATTGATATAGTACACACTTTATATATAAACTACTTTATAGAACTAAGACATATAATAATTATGTGCATTTTTTTTGTAAAAAAAGTAACACCGTAGGCTGGGCACAATGGACAAAATTGAAAAAGCTATTTTGATTTTAGATGCTTAACAAAAATTGTACAATATAAATTAGTATTTTCTAAATAATTATTATTATATTTTTAGAAATCGAAAGATTTGTGTGTAGAAACATGGTTTAAAAAATATATGGTTTTAGATACAGAATATTAAATAGAAGAAGCGTTGGTCTTTTGCAAGCATTATCTACCATTTACATAATGTACTTTAGCTATAGTGCCCAGTCTTGGGTACTCATGGCAACAGCGCATTACGTTTTACTTTAAAAATTCACATAGCTACACAAATTACACAAATACATTATTTAGAATAACTTATGGCAAGCTACATAATATTAATACACTTTCGGCTATGAAATTGAGTACATTTTTTGTATAATTGAAATTTGGTGTCGAAACAAAATTTCAATTATACACGTCATATAATTTAACAGCGTTAGAGTTTAGTATGCAAACTCTAACGCTTCAAATAACATTGAAACTAAAAACTTCCCGATGATACATAATAATTTTGCTCATTGAAATTTCAAATTGGGCACATTTGCTAAATGATGTGCTGGATAAATACTACACTGACTGTTATAAATATTTACTGAAATTTAACGTGAAAATTATAATAAAAAAATGCATTCTATGTATAAAATGAATAATAAGTGTAACGTTTGTTCTTTGAATTTAGGATTTTCATCGCGTAGCAAGTACGTCAATGTTAAATGCGTTATTATTATGAATCCTAATGTTATTACCAAAAAATCATAGAAAACGTCTTTATCATTTACTTGTTTACAACTTTTGCTTTCTTCCTCATTCATTTTTGATTGATTGTTAGTACCTTAATTTTAGTTTATAAATAGTTATCAAGTAAAATTATGAAGTCAAAAATAGTTTATAAAATACAAATGATTTATTATGTAATTGTACTGGTAACACTTTAAAATTAGAAAAGGATAGCTATTTTGACTTGCAGTTTCTGAAGCCGGTCACGTTTTGGTAGACAGCCAAACAAGTATTAGGAAAAAGTTTTTTAACAACACTATCTACGTGGCGATTTGTGCAAATTCTTACACTCTAAATTTAAAAATAAAATGACATATTAGTAAATATTATAAATGAAAATTTTTTTTTTCAACAATAACTACTAGCTACATCATAATATTGTATTAATGAAAATAAATATAATTTCAAGAAAACAACAGATACCTAATGATAAAACGACGATACAAAAATACATGCAACAATTCAAGCTGTTTATGTTCCCCCAGTGTGCACAAACATTGATTTCCTATAATGACGGATAACTATGTCCAATATTAACGGTATAATTTTAGTTGAGCTTTAAATTAAAAGTTAATATTTATTTAAAACTTAACAATCATTAGAATTCTATTAATGTTTAGATTATACATTATAATGCCTTATAGCATTGATTATATATTGTGTTCAACAAATTAATCATAATACTATATATACTCAATCTTGACGGTATATTTTTCAGAAATTCTTTTTTTAAAAAAAAATAGTTTTATTGAATGAGAAATGTGAAAACTGTGTAGGTCACAGGAAAAGTTCTCATAATATCATAATATGGTCGGTAAGATGATTGTTCTCGTTGAAAAAAATCGCAAACAATAATAACTAAGTTTGCACACTGGAACTTTTTTTTTTACTACTACAACATACAAAATCTAAGGAATAATGTAATAAACAAGTAATAAATCAAATCAAACTATAAGATTTCAAAAACTTTTGAAAATTAAATGTTTAAACAGTTATGCGTGTATAAAATAAAATGACAACCACTTAGTATTGAAATTAAACACATTCCTATTTTGATTTGAGAAATTTCAAAAAGGTAATTTTTCTACAAATATCAAATCTCTTTTATCTACTGCAAACTGAACAATTTATGGAAATAAGCACTACACTTACACTTTTTATCAAATATGGTGACGAGGAGGACTGTTATATTAATATAACCTTTCCGCATTTCGTGCACAATTTGTCTATAAATATTTATTGACAGTTATTACAATATCTTTGAATAATAATTATTAACCAGTTTCACCAAGTTTTATTTGACCGCAACAGTTAATACAACAACATAACATGTCATTAGTATAATTTACTACAGTAAACAGAGATGTGGCCACTTTCTAAACAAGTGTTAATTATTAAAAAAATTGTATAATTATACTTTGCAGGGATACCACCCCTGAGAATTTTAAAATCCCGCCCTGTGGACTATACTAAATAAAAAAAGTTTCTTGATCTCCTGGAGGTTAAGGTTTCCGATATCATTATAATTGGAAAATTTCACGCCGATTGCGAATTTCAAGTAAAAAAAATCTGCAGACCCTAAGTTAGATCTAATTGAAATTTGCATATTTCTTCATATATAATAGTAGGCAGCAATGGGGGCGACCGCATCATACATTTGTTGGAGACGCGAGGCTAGGTTTAGTTAGGTCGCTGACGCTTTCAGAACAGTAAGTTAGGTTGGTTAGTAGTAGGCAAGCTATTTTTTTTTCAGGGGGTTTGGGGGCGTGAGCCCCCATCCAAAGGAGAGTCCCGACAGGGTTCGAGTCGCCCCCCGAAGACGGCAGATGTATGGAGTTGTTTTAATACTTAAGAAAATTATACTGTTGTACAATTCAAATAGTACATCATTGATAATATCACGATAAAAATAAAAATAAATAATTAACTAATAATACTATAGCAGAGCGCACTTGAGTCGCCGACAAAATATGTATGGTGCGGCGGCAGGCATCTTCAGCCGCTACTTATTATTATAAAAGCGGAAATATGCAAATTTCAAGTAGCTATAACTAGAGGAGTCTGCCGATTTTTTACTTCATATTCGTAATCAGCGTAAAAAATACTACAAGATGGTAGAGAAAATTGCAAAAAAAAGATATCCGGTAAAGTGCATTTGTTCAGAATCATCGTTCATACACACCAAGTTACAAATGATGTTAATGGCGCGCATGAAATATTACGCTAAAATAAAATACTCGATGAAACTGACGTGTTTGTTAACGTGTACACGAAAAACTACCATAGCTTACCTCATTTTCCGACGATAAAACCACATAAAGGCTCAAAACCGTCATTGTTATAGAAAAAATGGCCGACGCCTCTTTGTGGTATTTCATGATATAATACAACAAGTAGCTCATTGTTGACCGGTTTGAGGTTTTCGTTAATGATTCGACAACAATAAACCGTGGCCGTTGTCCGGTAGATTTCTAAACTGCACAAGCTGTTTTTTTAATTATTATTTTTAACTCTAAAGTTGAAAAAAAAATGAAAATCCAAAGCTCAAAAATCGCAGCCGACTACCAGAAGATGCGAGCGATCAACGCCAAGCGCCGTTTGCACTTTGAGAGAAAATAAAATGGCGTCGGACGTCGACTGGTAAAGGAAAAAAAACTTATTCGAAAAGTCAATAGGTAACAAAATAGAACTGAACTTGCGCACAGTGTGGGTAACCTAAGCAACCGTGTTCACTTCCTCCGCCGAAACGACCCTCCGCTGTAATGTTATTATATCGGTCAGGAACGCGGGGGGTATAATAAAACTACAACAGATGTGCTATTATAATATACATATATCGCTAATATATATAATATTTATACATCCGTTCTCGTAACCAACCGCGGGGAAGAAAACAAAATGACAAAGAAGCGGAAAACCGGTAATCGTATTGTCATATTTTGTCGTAGAAATCACAAAACGCAACAATAACTATTAAGCCGGCCCCAACCCAACGGCCTTGTATTATTGATTTTGTCATGACAAAGGCCCGAAACGCCCTTTGGGGGACAAAAGCCAGTGGTGAACAAAATGTAATATTACCCGGTACCGGCCAGCTGCCTGAATCGAATTTCTTTCACGTTTTCTTCATCTTATAGTAGGTATTATTATTGTATCAATTTTCTAACTGTCGTAGACGAAAAAAAAATGTGTACAATAATAATTATTGTTTTTATGAAAATATTACAGTATATTGTATTTTGTAGGCAAGTGGCAACACTGTACGCAGTAAACGTAGAATTTTACTCGCCGTAGCCTGCAGTGGACGTAGACAGTAGACACTAGACAGCAGCAGCTGACTGAATAGCTAATTAGTAGGTCGATATAGCTATATAGATGTAACAGTAAGGTAGTTTATAGTTATATAAATAGTAGAAACTAGAAGAGTTCCGAGTTGTCATCATTGTCCGTTTGTGTAATTAATGTTATTTTATTAAAGAGAAACAATAATAAAATAAATCGCCATATTTCTATTCGGATCCGGTGTACAGTAGGTACGTATGACAGTTATTGTAAACCTAAAAATCAAAATGACATGTACCACACCTATGCCGCCGATAGTGTGAGAGGTTTAACTTGTACGCTGACCCGTATCGGTCGACTGTAAACGACCAGTCGTGTGGGATCGGCGGCTTTGTAGGTGCAGTGCGGTACTTGGCCCTCAAACTAAATCCAGAGTGTCTTTGATATGTAATTAATAATTTGAAGAAAAAAACAATCAATTTATTTACACCTTTAAAATTTAAGCTCAAAAAATATTCTCATTTTTTTAACTTACATTTATGTAACAGGAACTATTCATACCATGTCTAAAAGGAATTTTGACAACGAAGAAGGCTCTGAAAACCCTCCGTTGAAAAAATTACAATTGGAACCAATTGACTTACATCCTACTATGGTGGCTGTAAATTATTTGAATGCAGAAACTAGTGCACAGGTTGGATATTTAAAATGTTTGCACTCCAAAGAATAATAAAAAAAAAAAAAACAACATTTATACCGTAGGTTTATTTTTCTATTTCAGTTACCTGTTGATCTTCAAGACACTACGAATTATGCAAAAGAAGAAATACAAAATGAAATGCTGATTAAATTAAAAGAACTCCAGTACGCGTACCAACAAATTCAAGAGAGGAAAAACGACATCGATACATATTTAATGGAAACCAGGAATGAGTTAAAAGCGTTCCTGGAAATTCAAAAGCGATATCTATCTGATTTCAGCCGATCTAATTAAATGAAAAGAAAAAGGTAATTTATATCATTGTATAATAATTAAGTTTGTGTTTTTAGTTTATCAATTTGTACTGAACTGGTAAATTGTAGTATGAGACATCATTAGGGCTTGGATGTTGTTCCAACCTTTTATTTTTTAATCTGTCTAATTTATTGCATAATAGCTACAAATTGGGTTGATGCAAAAAAATGATAATAATAACATATATTGTTATAAGTGCAATTTTAATTTTTAGGTGTTTTTTTCTAACTTTTGCTATTTTCTTTATATTTAAACTGTCTTTGTCTATTTAACTGTCAATAAAACCAACCTTAATATATATCAAAATGACTAGGAATTTTTGTGCTATAAACATTATAAAAAAACCTGGGCCTATAATTTATTTTATTTTGTTTTCTAATAGGAATAATCAAGCAATGTAATGAGTATTTCAAGAGTTTGGTGACACAAACATATTTCTATTCAATTCAGTTCAAACTTGGCTTTCGCTCATGATAAAGATTAAAAAAAAAAAAAAAAATATGCTTCAAAATATAAAAAATAAAATAAACGACAACAATTATTTCGAGATGTCTTGATACATTTCTTTTGATTATTAAAATTTGTCTGTATATTTATTTAGATGATGGTTCACATTTATGTTATGTTGTACGGGTGTCGGTCATTTCGCCACAACGATTGTGTCGCGGCTCTTTTGCCGTTTGACATATTTGGGCTGAGTATAATGTATTGGCATAAATATAAATATATGTATATTTTATTAAGTAGGTGTTTGATAGCTTGGGATTCGATATTCCAAATCGACTAGCCATTTATTTACTTATTGAAAAAAATCAATCTACAATTCACTTTGCTGTTTGCACTTGTTTGTTTATAATTTAACAAAAATCTAAAAGTGATTATACTAAACGATGATCTAAATTAAGGAAACATAATTAATTTTATTTGTAACATTTTGTTAAGAGTTTTAATGATTTAGCAAAAAGTTTAAAACCATTACAAATTTGTCATAAGTGAAAAAAAATATAAAAGTGAATTTAGGTAACATTTTAAAAATAAATAATAGTAACCTAATTTTATTGGATAATAAAAACCTTAAAAAAACACTTGCACAAATATTATTTGAAGCCGCAAGTATGTTTTATTTTATCAGGATTTCTAAAATTACAAATAAATAACCATAAAAAAAATAGGGACAAGCGCTTCTAAATTTTAATCTGGCTGTGAAAAAAAATGATAACAGTATTTGTTTACTATATCAACAACAATTTTGAAGGAGTTCAATAAATTTTAAACGTGACAATTAATTTTTCTGTTGGAGAAAATGTTGGTCTATACTTATAATGTGCAATATTTTGTCGAAATAAGTTGAAAAAATGTACATATTTATTTTATACATTCCAAATGATGATAAATTTAGGATTAGGTAAAATGAAGTTTTCCATAAATTTACAAATATTTATTACAAATCAGTCATAATTTTTTAACTCATCCCGTATTAATAATGAATTAATGATTCGAATTAACAAACAAAAAAATTAATTCTCTTAAAGTACCAAAGGCCAGGTATTATAAATATAGACAACTTGTTTCTCATTAAGTAAGAAACTGGAAAACAAAATCTAAATACATCCAACTAGTTTACTGATATTCTTAAAAGTATGAAAAACTTACACGTTTTCCATCATTATTATTACTAAATAAATAATTCAAAAAACCAGCCCTGAATTTAGCAAATATACCTATAGAATAGAGAACTTTTCTACAAATAAAAAAATTAAATTATACAGAAATTTATTCTTAACCATATAGAACAATACAAGAAACATTGACTTAACGGTGCGAAAAATAACCAGACGTGAGACCAAAATGGGTTTTATCAAAAACAAAATATCGAATTATTTTGGTTCTTGTTCCAAAATAGTGTTGTGCAATGTTTATTTTAACACAATGATTACATAATTCAATTAGAGAAACGGAAAACATGCATGTAAGTGTTGGGAAACAATGTCCAGTGGACACTAAGATGTATATTTCGAAAAAAGAAAAAACGATTCTGTATTACCGAGTAATCTTTTCTCAAAATAATTAAACCCGTGTAAAATGATATTTATGTCAAAACGGCTGTTTATTTATTATTGTCATTTGTTATAAAGTATGAAATCATTGTTCGGCTGTACCCGCGCGTTGTGAGTTATCAACGAGAGCTGGAAAAAAAACCAATTAGGTAAACTACAACTTTGGTCATCGTTTACTATAATAATTTATAATAAAAAAAAAAAACAGTCAACGATGACCGTGATATGCAACGTTTTTTTTACTATCGTTGTTTAGTAATAAATTGTTTTATAATTTATTCATTGTACCTAATAAGTTAATAGGCGTTAACTTAGTTGCAAGTTCGGACGTTTGCTTGGTCGCCATTTAAAACGTACTAAACCAAAACAATGTATTTTTGACCAAAAACGGTCATATTGTGGTTGTTGAACGTTAGCGTTTGTGGTGTAATGTTTGCCGGTTTATTTGTAATGTTTTTTTATTTGTCACTTGGCGTTGTCGTTTAAATAAAATTATTATTTTCCGCGTTTATGCGACATTGTTGTGTGCCCCTCTCTCTGATATTTCTGAACAATGTCGTGCAGCGATGATAGCATAATCGATTTGTCCAGCGAATCGGAGGCCGAAGAAGAAAACGACCGGTAATAAAAATTTTAATTTTAATTGTTTTATCTCCACTAACTTTACTATGGTGGTCGATTAGAAGTTTTAGACATTATTTGGCGTTTTCGTTTTTCTCAGACAAGAATACGACGACGATGCGGTCGTCGACGAACAAAATGTCGAAGATGTAATTCTAGTCTCCGAATATGATGTAAGTTTGGTTTGTAAAATGTCATATTAAACATTGCACTTTTGGTTCACATTGTGTATTGTGTAACACAGGAGTACGACGAAGAAGAAGATGAAGAGCTATACGAGCGGTCGGGAAAGAAAAAGAAAAAAGTCGAGCGATACGGCGGTTTCATCATCGACGAGGCAGAGGTCGACGATGAAGTGGAAGAAGAAGACGAATGGGAAGAAGGTCCTGTCGATACCAGTATTGTTGCCAATGAAGAAGACGAATCGGGTCCTACCGCTAGAGAAATCGAAGGGCACAGGCGCGGAAACGATCTTTGGGAGTGAGTCGAACGATTAAATTGTATTACGTGTGAATCATATTTTACAACGATAGATTTTTAAAATTTGAACATGTTTTATTGTAATTTTAGTTCAAAAAACGAGGACGAAATCGAAGAGTATTTACGTAGAAAGTATTCGGACGACACTTCGGTCGCCATCAAACATTTTGGAAACGCCGGCGTAGGACTTATCAGTGAAATCACAAAGCAGACACTTTTACCGGGTGTCAAGTAAATAATCAATTTGTGTTCAAAAATATGATTTAAATATTTAAACTTGTATAGCCAACTGGCAATGTGTGCAAACCTTTTTTGACCCTAAATATTAATGTTGGTAGAGATCCAAATTTGTGGATGGTCAAATGTCGTATCGGCGAAGAAAAACAGACAGCCTTATTGTTGATGAGAAAGACGATTGCTTATCAATTTACAGACAACCCGTTACAAATCAAATCTGCGGTGTCGCCCGAAGGCGTAAAGGGCTATATTTATATCGAGGCGTACAAACAGACTCACGTCAAGTCGGCGATTGAAAATATTAGCAGTCTTAAAATGGGCATTTGGAAACAGCAAATAGTGCCCATCAATGAAATGACAGACATACTGAAAGTCGTTAAAATACAATCCAGTTTCCAACCTAAGCAATGGGTTCGATTTAAAAAAGGTGACGACTTAAAAATAAAATAATAATAATACTAGGTAAAAGTAAAATTGATCGTAATATATGTTTGATACGTTGGATTTTAGGTTATTACAAAGACGACATTGCCCAAGTAGATTATATGAATATGGCCCAGAGTAACGTACACCTGAAATTGATACCGAGAATAGATTACACGAAGCTTCGCGGCGCATTGAGATCTACGATGGTATTGCAAAATTATTTTTTCTCATATACACATGTTCTCATTGGACTAGCATTATTTTGATGTCGTTTTAATCAATAGGGTCCGGATTATCTAAAAAGGAAAAGGAGGAGACGTCCGGGTGCCAAACTGTTTGACCCGGAAGCAGTCCGCGCTATCGGCGGCGAAGTGACCAGTGACGGGGATTTTATGGTATTCGAAGGAAATCGCTACAACCGCAAAGGGTTTCTGTTCAAAGATTTCTATATCAACCTAATCTCGACCGAAGAAGTCCAACCCACGTTATCAGAACTTGAAAAATTTGAAGACGCTACCGAAAACGAAGACATTGCCGTGCCAATTATAAACACAGATAATTCAGCCAACAATCAAGCCATAAGCGGTGGCGATAATGTTGAAGTCTGTACAGGAGAACTGATCAATCTTCGAGGCAAAGTATTGTCGATTGACGGAAATATGGTCACCATCATGCCGGAACACAAAGACCTCAAGGTAGGTAATAACTAATAACCAACTATGCTTAGACTTTCATAATATATTTATTGTTTTCAATTTTTAAAAAAAAAATTGTTTAAGCTGCCGTTAGAGTTTACCGCTAACGAATTATGCAAATACTTCAAACAAGGTGACCACGTCAGAGTGTTGGGCGGACGCTTTAAAGGAGACACCGGACTCGTTGTACGTGTCACACACAAGTGTGTCGTAATGTTTTCCGATGTGTCGATGCATGAAATGGAAGTTTTACCTCGTGATTTACAATTGTGTAAGGACACGGCGTCCGGAGTGGATTCGATCGGACAATTTCAATGGGGTGATCTTGTTCAGTTAGAGTACGTAATTGATTTTTTTATATGTTTAAATTTTAACGGGTAATTGATCGGTTGATATTTGTAGAAAAGAAGGATACTAAAATACGTTTGTAATAACTGTTATATAGATTCGACAAATTAAATTAAATTTACGACAAGGTATCATTTTATTATTGTTCTTAGTCCGATCGTAAAGTAATCGGTAACCATATATTATGTTGTAGCCTTAACAACGTTGGGGTTATAGTGCGAATCGAGCATGAAAAAGTACAAGTACTAAGTATGACAGGAAAATTAATCAAAGCGAAATCACAAACCCTGTTAAAAAAAAAGGAACACAAAAACACGATTGGTGTGGACGCGCATGGCAATTCTTTACAAAGGAAAGATGTGATCAAAGTCATCGACGGACCACACACGGTATTTGTTATTTATCATTGTTTTTTGTATTAAATATCAATATTGTAGTAATTTATGTACTCGCAGGGAATGCAAGGAGAAATCCAACATCTTTATCGTCATCATGTATTTTTATACTCTCGCCTGATGACTAATAACGGAGGGATTTTCGTATGTCGATTAAGACATGTTACGTTGGCTGGGAATTCGATTGACAAAGTAATTATCGTCCATTTAAAACTTTTTTTCTAATTGAATTATCGTTTCTTATAATATAACTAATACGTTAACTTTTATTAGTCAACTAGCCTGCAAAATGGATCATCAACCCTGGGAATTACATCTCCTCGTCATATACCCGGTTGTCCGTCGGGTTACGGCAGATACGGTGGCGGCGTCAGTTACGAATCGAGAAAATTTGATGGCGTACGCAGAGACAAAGAGCTGATTGGACAAACAATACGGATCACCAGCGGTCCGTACAAAGGAGCTGTTGGCATGGTTAAAGACTCGACCGAGTGTACGGCTAGGGTCGAGCTGCATTCGCCTTGTCAAACCATATCGGTCGATAAGAGAAACATCATGATGGTCGGCGGACAACAGTCCAAGGACAGGAGAACAATGCCGTCGTCCACCAAGACATCGCTGAATGTTGTCCCCATGACGCCTAGTTACCGCGAAGGAGGCAAGACTCCCATGTACGGATCGATGACGCCCAGCTATGAAGTCGGTAGTCGTACTCCGGCCTACGGTAACATGACACCTTCTCATGACACGACAATCTCTTCACTAGCGTGGGATCCCGCAGCGGGATATACTCCCGCCAGAGACAGCGACACTGATCACTCGTACCAATTGGATCATAACTATTCACCGTTTGAACCAGAATCTCCGTCCAGTTGTGAATTCAATGGTGAGTATACAAAGTCATAATATGGCGGTTAGAGTTAATCACAAGTGTGTTTGTGTTAATCCAAAAAAAATTAATTTATTATAAAAATTACTCATCGGCAAAACAGAAAAGTAGATAGACAAATTTGTATAGGATTTTATTATTTTATTACAAATTATTTGAGGTATTTCCTATTAGTTAGGTATTTAATTTCGTTAGAATAAAAATATATTTAAAAATTATTGTTTATTTTATTTTTTTCTAGGCAATAACCCCTTCCTAAACGCATTGAGCCCTACGCACGTTAGTCCGCTTAATATCGACTATCATCCCCGTCCGTCACCTTCATCTTATTATCCGTTTTTGATGACCTCGTCACCGTCAAGTTCTCCCGGACCCGCGGCTCCTTTTTTAACGTTGTTTGGTATGAATTGAATTATTAAATAGCAACGTCGATAACGTTGTTGTTGTAAATTGTTTTACTTTCAGACTTGCCATCTGGTTGGCACACTACTGGTGTTTACGTCCATATAACTGATTCAGAACTAGCCGCAAAGACTGGAATCGTTAAAAAAGTAGAAGACAGTACATGCACTGTGTATTTACCGGACAATGGACAAACGGTAACAGTCGATAATGAAAAGTTGGAGCCTGTTATGCCCAAATTGAATGATTTTGTAAAAATACTGTGCAATCAACACAAAGACAAGATAGGAAATATGGTGGCCATAGAGGGCAGCGAAGGATTGGTCGTGTTGCATGACGAAAAAAACCCATTACTTTTTCCACTGGTGCATTTATGTCGAGCCATTTAAAAGTCAAGTATTTGTTATTAACAAAAGTTAAGAGTAATGTTGAAATTACATTTTTTTTTCCCAATTAAAAACAGTATAATTGCATGTTAAAACTGTTAACTTTAAATAGTTGAAATAGATTAAACCTTTTTGAAATTTAAAATCGAACTAAAATTTATTACTAATAAAAAATCAAAATGCTTGTAAAAAAAAAAAAATTTATGAATAAGAATTTGTTATCAATAAAAGATGTTGTGAAAAATGTCATCGGACACTTATTTAATTTGCTTTTAACGAACGTTACAAAATACAAATTTTGACCGCCGCAGCAAAGAAAGTCAAAACTTGATTTTTATCAATTTAGAGTTGGTAGCATACGGATAGTTCATTTTTATTCTTTATCTCTTGACAAAAAAAACGTTTTCAAAAATCTGCCTGGGAGTATAGTTAACTTGTATAAGAATACATGAAAAATTAGAGTAAGTAATCAAAATTGTTTTTGGTTTCCTCAAAATTTACAAAAATCAAGTTACGACTTTTTTCACTGCGGCAGTTGATATGTGACAAAAGAAGATTAAATTTCTTGATTATAAATTAAAAAAACGCAAAATTATTGAGATAAAAAATATGGGTAACACGATATTCGACTTGCCGTGAGCTGTTAAGACTATTTTTATAAATTACTATGTGTACTTTTTTTAAGGCAATGTTATAGGCATTTATTCTTTAACATTTTCAGGTAATTTTTAACACTTTTTTTTTAGAGGATTTATTTTCGTTTTTCAAGTTCCAAGCCATTGAGCAGGCACTTTATTTTTGAAATGTATGCATACCATAAAATACCGATTTTGCGCGAATCCATTTCATTATGTTTGTGGGTAGTTGAAAAGGTTTAATTAAACGACGATTGAATTCAATTGAAAATAGTATTAAAAAAAAAACACGTTAAATTAATAAACAATAATATTGTTGTTGTTATAATTGAACGGCAATTGACTTAATCGCTGATATCTTATCAATCGACCAATGGTGACCGGTAATGCGGTTTCGGGTAACCGCGGTTGTCCGTAGAAACTGATAAGCTGTAACGGAACGGGTCTGATAACTCCACAAACTAATCACTCCGTACAGATAGCATAATATTACACTGTGGATGTTTGTATTTTTTTTGTCATGTTATTTTACTACAGAGCCTGTTTATACAGAATACAGATGTTCCCCCACCCAAAACGCAATATCGTTTGCCGTCTGAGACGCCATTATTTCATGCACAAGAGTAAAGAAATTATTTATTACATAACGCGCACGACGTGATGATGATATCGGGCGACCGGTCGAGTGAAACGAGTTGAGAGATTCGACAGGGAATTGATTTCATTGTCAAACCTACCGACGACAAATAATTGCCAGTCGGATTCCAAACGATTGTTTCGCTGGTCAAACATTTTTTCAGGAATTTGTGAACGCCGTCATGTCGTCGGACGACGTCGATCTCGAAGCTCAGTTCATGGTTGACAATGGAATTCTGAAACCGGACGAAGTGCTGTAAGTTTTTACATTCTACTTCAACTGTGGCTAAACTAGAACACACGAAAAATAGGTTCTCCGATTTCATAATAAATATTATTATCTCCTTATCACACAGTATGAGTTTTTATATACTTTAATTAACATGTAATTAACGAGAATAATCTATTTATCGGTTTCGCCTTTTTTTAGCTTCGATGCGGAGCTGAAAAGTTATTGCCTGTACAAAGATGTGTTTTTTTATTTTTGTGTCTGTACCCACGATATCTTTTAAACCGCTCGACCGATCTCTTCGTGTAGCAACTCTATCGATTAGAAATCGTTCCTGTAAGGTACTCTAATAGTAAAAATTTTTTAAAAAAGTTCAACATTTCCCCTTTAAAATTGAGAAAAACGGCCATAAAAATGTAGATATGTTTCAATTTAAAATTACGATGCTCTATACATTTTTTAAAAATAGTCAAATTATTTACAAATTAATATTCTTTAAACGTACTACTACCGATTAACATTGATAAACCAAAGAAATATTGTAAGCCCTAGAAGGGACAGACATTTTTTGTTTATTTCACTTTTTCAAGCAAAGTTTTAGGGATTTAGGTTTGAAAATTAGACCGAAAGTAAATTTAGTATAAGCCTATAACATATACAGTATTCTAAAAAATCTGAAGTCAAACTTTTCTTTTATTAAAAATAAACCAAAAGTATAAGGGAAAATTACACTTTGTAGTCAGTTTTTTGGTTGGTTTTCTTTTGTAGGTGTAGTAGTGTTATTGTTTTTTTATCAACCACTTCAGCTTAAAAAAAAAACCATTTTAATTTGAAAATGAAAAAAGTTAGGCATGATACTAATAGTACTAATTTTTAAGATGTTGACGTGAACAAATCTATCTTTTTTTTTTTCAGTTCATCAAACTGATTTTTTTACTCTTGCCTAATCGATTGGTCAAATACCTAGCTTTTTTTTTTGTCCTGTATAATTTTGAGAAATCCCGTTAAAAAGTACTTGTTGTGCAAACACAGTAATATGTACTTAAATACTCGAAATTTAAATTTTTAATCTTAATGAGTATGTTCTTCAATTGTCATTCAATAGGACATTGTCTCAGTTGAAATTTAATAGTTTAAAAACATCCACTCGCACTTCCACCGCTGTTCTGTTAGTGTAAAGCGTGATTAATATAATGTGCTATATTTTGATGATTTTATATTTGAAACAAAAATTTAGAGATTAATGGCGCAACCTTTTTTGTTAAAAGCTATAATATCTTTGTTAAATTTCAAGTCAACTTTTATTTTTCTTTAAGTTGGATTTTCTTTTTTGTTTTATCAACTATAGTGCTAATAGCCAACTATTGCGGTGTCAAATTGTTTTGGTTTTTATGTTGCCGACTATCATTTTTAAAATATTTGTTTTCGTCTTTCAGAGTAGTCAAAGAGAGGCGTATGGGTATCGCCAAGAAGATAGCTCACGGGCTGGTCACCAAGGAAGAATTGCTGAAAAACATAAATATCGAATTGAATCTATTGGATACGTATCAACAAAAAATCAACGTGAGTATTCGACGTCAGTCTTTTTAACGATACACGATTTTCTTTGCGTTGTCCTAATCGAAGTCGCTTTTGCCCCCAACGACAGGAGTTGAGCGACGATAAGAATGACGATAAATTTGAAGTATTCAGAATCGTGTCGGAACGCGTCAACGACATGTACAACAATTTATTTTTGCTGTTCAGTATCGATAACGCAAATCTAAAAGAATACATCGAGTTTTGTGTGAATAACGTAAGTGTACCTAACCACAAAATAATGTTATAAAACCAATAGGTATGTTAATTGAAATGAAAATTTCAGGATCTATTATGCAATTGTAGTGCGTTGATAGGCACCCTGATGAAACGACGCCACGACGAACCCGATTTATACATGACTGCGGCGCGCTACGAGTTTGAGGAGCGCAAAAACATCGAAGAAGCTCGACAGTATTACAAAATGGGACTATGCGAACACAGCCAGAGCAAGGAAATATGTTTGGACGAATTTTGGATGGAAGTGCAGCATTGCGATAAGGGCACTAATTATAACATGTGCATCGAGAAGTATAAAGCAGCCATTGCACGCTTTCAAGGCGATATAGATTTCCACATGAAATTGTTGGACACCGCTTTGATATTACGAGTGGACGAAATACATTCGCTCATCGTCAAGTACGCAATAAAACCCCAGTATAAGTTACAAGTGTAGGATTTGCTAATATTTCGATAATCTAATGGTTTTTTTCTCTCCCGTTGCACAGGGACATGGTCGAGATTTACAAACACAACGAATTGCTTTGGCACTTTTTAGCTCAAATGCAACTAAAAGGCTACTCCTACAATCCTCAGACCCAACGGTTGAATTTTTCAAAAGATCACATGGCTGTACAGTAAGTGTCTGTTGCATATTGTCATGATACGAGTTGTTGTAGGTAGAAAATAAATTTGGCTGATGAAATCGCATGAAAAGTATTCGGTTATTTGTTTGATATGAGTTTTGGTCACCGTAATTTGTTATTGAACATTGCAAGTCTCCTATAAAATCACTTAAAAAAAAAAAAAAGTTTTTCTTTAAGTTAACTTAATGTAACTTTTGTTGTTTTTATAAACTATCATGTTAGTATTAAGCTGGTTTTCGTTAAACTAACATCGTTTTATAAAAATACGAATAAAAACTTTGTCTTCGGTAAGTTTCTATTCAAAATAATAAATTAATTTAAATAACTTTTTTTTTTTTTCGTATAAAATTTGCATGTTGTTTCTTAATGTTTTTCATGATAATGATAATTATGAAATCGACATAAATCTGCTCACTAAATTGCACACTTTCTATGTAGCAGTTTTGAGGCCTGTGCTGTGTTGTTGACGTAACACAATTGGCGGCGTCGTAACAAACTCGCTTTGTCATATAAAACCCTCATGAGCCTGCGTAGACGTTTTATTAGCAATCGTATGTTTTCTAGTAATTGCATAAACATATACGAAGACATATTGAATCAGAGCCTATTGCAAGTAGACAAACAGCGTTTGTGGGAATTGTACTTGGACACCGTGATAGAAATCCGTCAGTCGTACCGCATGCAAAACGAATCGACAAAAAAATACATGCATGAAACTTTGGAACGTGCATTTCAGAACGCCCACATGAGCGGTGCAATGCTCGTGTCTAAATATTATTTGTATTGGGTAACGAAACACGATAGGTTTATTTAAAAAAAAGTAACCTCGTTATTAATATCGGCTATGTCGCGTTGTTTAGGCGGAAAATTCCAGCGCGGACGATCGACGAGCGATTTTGATAGGCGCAACGAAAGCTCTGAAGACCAATTTGGATTTGTGGATAGAACTTTTACACTTGTACGTCACGCACGACTGTTTCGACAATCTCATCGAAGCGTTCCAGCAAGGAGTGCGAGCGTTGAAAGACGATTCGCTGCCGCTGTGGCAAATCATGATAAGATACATGCACAACACGCATCCGAAATTGGTAAACCCCCAAGATATTAACGATAAGAATGCGACCGTAAAATATTATAATTTGTGTAAGTGGTCGATTAATGTTTTTTGAATATATTTCACGTAGGTCGATCAGTTGTACAACGAAGGTTCGCGCGTTAGGTTCAAAGTCGTAGCCTTGGAGTTGAGACCCGCCTATCTGGATTGGTGCGCATTACAAAAGGGATTGCTTTCGGCGAGGGATCTGTTCCAAGATCTCGTCCAGCTAGAGCCTCCGTGTCTACAGCTATACATGACCATGATCAATTTGGAAAAGATCCAAATGTTTCACATGAACAAAATGAAAAACATTAGAAAGCTGTACAACGACGCGTGCAACGAATTCGGGAAAATCGACACTAGTGCGTGCTGTCGTCGATATTAATTGTCCTATAAACACTCGTCGTATTATTAATGTGAAAATTCTTTTGTAGACATTTGGTTGGAGTGTATTCGTTTCGAGTACGATTTCGGTAGCTCATCGTTGGTGGATGAAATTTATAAGGCGTCCCTGTTGTGTTTAGAGCCCCAACACATAGATACAATGAAAACGGAGTTCGAAGTGATCAAAAATAAATTTATGTAAGTAGTACCATCTGTTCGCTTAAAAAAATATTACGACAAATCAAAGTAAAATATTAAATCGACAATCGATTGTGATTTTTAGGGAAAACCATAACGACGAAAACGAAGTGATCGTCATCGACGACGACGATGATGACGACGACGACGTGACAATTATCGAAGATTAAACGTATTCAAATCCAATACCGACATTGTGTTCAAATATTTATATTATTATTATTATTATTATCGACAAGGTTTCAAATGCAGGGTTAAAGAGTTATTATTGTCTTTATAATATATTTAATTTAGTTTGTAGTGCGACGACAAAACCTATCAAGTCACTATACCGTGTTAATTGTGCGAATTTTATTTTTATATTATATATATATATATATCTATTTTTTTTTTAAATCTTAATTTCTTTTCCGAATTTTAACTTTACAAATTGTCACAAACGGATTCTTGTTTAAGAGATATATATAATTATTATTATTGTTCTATTGACTGCTACTGCGTTAATTTTACAGTAATCCAGACGGTTGTACTTAGATTGAGTATTTTTATTATTATTTATTTGCTGATGATTTAACAGTAAAATCAATGCGGTAACACGACTTGATTATTGTGACCTAACTGGCGGCCAGAGTTGTCGAATAATTTTCCTTCGCTTGGGTTAATTTGTACAATAACCCCAAAGATCTGTCAACTACTATAATATCAATTTTGTATTTTTAATTCGATTCAAATACAAATGGTGTACTTAAGTAAGATTGCTTGATTTTCTTTTTCTTTATTTGTTTATATAAAAATTCAAATACTTGGTAAGTTTCATAGAGGGCCAGGAAATTGACTGACTACTGTTGTTGAGAAATAAAAACAAATTTAATGTCCTTGAATATTACTTCCAGACTTGTGTAGGATATTCTCTAGATATGAATACTAGACCTAAGTAGGTACACAGTTAAAAAAGTTTAAAAAATGATTAACTGTCATTTATACAAATTGTTGGGAACATTCTTTGACAAAAGACACTTTTTTCGATGTATAATACTTAATAATTTTTTTTTTAAATTTATTAATAATGTATTGTTTAGTTTTGTTTGATTTTTTTTAACAATATTGTAAATTTAACATTAATCAACAAGACAACGTTTCAATGGCATTTAGTTTACCATGTTTTATCGCATTTGTAGGGAAATATAAAACATAAGTCTTTGCTCATAATTTTTTCAATAAAGTAATACATTTTATAAGAAGAGTATTTTTACAGCAGAATAGTTACTTTACAGAATTTTATATTTTTTTTTTAATGGAAGTCTTGGCAATGTATCTCCGCAGTATAGGTTTTAACAAGTAAATCTGACAGGACTATCACTAAGGACATAACAAAGCCAGCTTATATTTTGATTCTTTAAGGGGCTACTACCCTAGCATTTATTAAGGCGCATTGTATAGGCAATTTTTTTCGCTCAAACTTAACATTAAGCTGACATTTTCAAACGTATGTAATATACCATAGAAAAAAAAGAATCAAGTTTGAAGTTTATTTATTGTTAGGTAATCGATGTAAAAACAATGCAATTTTTACCTTTCTTTTTTTTTTTTTTACTGGAATAATTAATTGACAAAAAAATAATATCAAAAATTATGCCACGACCACTACACCTTGAAGATGTTTTGGATAATACAAATACTTGTTCAAAACTTAAATCGTAGTGTTCTCAAGAAGAGTACGTTTGAAGTATTGAATGAGTTTGGTTTCGACCAAAAATTTGCCCTTAAAGTGACAATATTTGATAAAAAAATTTATCTAGTCATGATAAACTAAACTACCAGAGTTAAAATTGCTTTGATCGACATTATCGTTGTTTCTATGTTCATCAGTTAGGGTAAGGTAAAGTATTTTAAAATTATTTTTCACATTTACAATATTAGCTATGTTTTTTAGATTTCATTAAATTCATTAGACTTCACGTTAAATGATAAGAATTGCTTTTAATGTAAACACAACATTGTCCATCGAATAAGGCAATTTTAGGCCACGGTTTTTAATGGACTTGATAAATATTATTTATATTAATTATAAAAGGTAATAATTACCTGGCCAGGTCTGTCGTCAGATATTGCATACTGATTTTGCTTAAAGCACAAACAACATATTTTGATATAAGCTATTTTTACTATTTATTATAGGTAGGTAGATACATCAAATAAATGATTAATTTAATTTAGCTGCACAAATTTTTAATTTTATTTCACCTACTTAAACGTAAGCTTTTAAAGTAGCCACAGAATTACTAATTTGCTAAGAAGATAGCTTAAAATTATTATTTTTTTTTTTAAAACGCCATTGAAACCAAGTTTTTGATCGAGTATTTTCTCCAAAAATAAAAATATATGAACATTATACAATATTAAACTTAAAATTGATATTTTATTACATTTTTTCCTACGAATTTTTAAAATTTAATTTATTTTAGACATTTTTAAAAAATGACACGGAAAAAAATACTTACCTACATAGTTGGAACAACTAAAATTATATGGTTAATTTATGGATAAAATAAACTCATAATATTATAGTTGGAATAATTAGTTAGAATTAATAGATGCGCTTACTTGCTTTAACTGAAAATATAGTTGGCCAAACTGGTAAATGTATTGTATATATTAACCGCATAATTTTAGTTGGTACAACTGTGTATTTTTTTCACCTCATCTAACCCATTTATTCTGAACATGGCCTACAGGTTTTGTTTTAATGTGCAATAGGACACTAATTGTGCAGTTGACTTAAAACAGGTATGTGCAATTGTGAAATAAGTAAGTATACTATGATGTTATTATATTATGAAATATAGCTCATTTAATTATTTTTGCCCTAAGTAATCGGGAAAATCTTTATTTTATTTGTAAATTTGCATCTTTTTCAAAAAAGTGGCCCAAACTTACATTCAACAAATTCCTTATATGGACTTGGTTGAAAAACCGTTAAAACTATTTTAATTTAAGTGGATATAAAAACATTGATAAACATTGACAGGGTTTCTACACTAAATCATACACTATTTGATAAATAGTTTACACGTTAAGTAGGTACTTGGAAAAAATCAAAATAAATCATCAAAATTGTTTGAATTAAACTGTTTAAATAATTGGAGATATAATGTTAACAACTTTACAAGGCTGTCTAATCTAAATCTATCAGTGTTTTTTTTTATAATTGGTATAATAATGTTGCTCTATATATCGCATTTAGGTAGAATAAAAATCTTCCTAAAATTCCATCTTGAAGAAAAGTTAAAGCTATTTAAAAAAAAGTAAAATATGTTAAATATTAAGCTAAATATTAGATTTATCAAAAAAATGCGGATATCACATTGTCTCCAAAATGTTATTATCTTTGATTTTAAATAAGCATTTTTGCTCTAAATCAACTATATGTATGGACTTGGTAAAACGCATTCTGCGTATGTGTGTTTTAATGCTAGAAAATTGGATTTATAATGCCCTCTTAACAATAATTAATATCCGCAGTTCTTGTATATTGACCTTCAAGTTTCAATTAGAACAATTGATTAGAAATTTTAAGAAATTATTTTATACCTTGTTAGTACAAGACTTTTCATTTAATTGTCAATTCGCAGCTTTTATGTCCAGTTTATTTAGGTCGGTTTTTTTTTTGTTAAAATAATTTTATATCATTAAAAAAAAGTGACTTAATAATTCAACTATAGGTTTTGTAATGTTGACTTGAATGTAGTAACAAAAAAATTAAAAATAACTTAACAACGAGATAGATCTCACAAACTACTTAAGCTATGGATTTTTTTCGAACAAGGTCTCTTGCAAAAGTTGTTAGTGTCAAGACTCTGGTTTTGACAGAACAATTTTTTGGTAAACAAAATATACACCATTTGCATTAAAAAAACAAAATGTTTGTGGCTGTAAATCGAACATTTTTAATTTTTGACCACTTTTCAAATTATTATTTTTTCTTAATGTCTCCCTTTGATTGCTACGGTCTGTTTTTTTTTTGACGTTTTAGACCAAAAAGTCTACTACTTAAGATGGTCTAATATTAATTCTATAAAAATATACGAATTCTTTGGCAACTTTACTAAGTTCTGTGGAAAACGGATTTTTTCTTTTGTTTATGTAAAAAAAATTGGTTTTATCATTGAAAAAATTGCAAATTTTATTTTTTTTAAATTAGGTACAAGGAACTGAAATGTTTAAATGAAAATCGCTTCCTATGCAGTAGCCAAACAATTTGAGAAATCGGACCATCTTAAGTAGTAGACATTTGTCTAGCTTTTTGGTCTAAAATGATTTTTACTCATAGAAAAAAAAATTGCAAAAATTACAAATAATACCTCGAAGCTTATACAAATTAACCGACAGATCAATTAACGCGGTTGAAAAGTATAAAAAAACCACTTTTTTCTTATAAATATTGCCCAAACAAAACTCCTTAAGAACAGACCGCGTGCAATCCCATTTTATAATTTTTACTAATACTGTAATCAGCTCTACTGAAAATATTATGTATAACATTGTTCAAATTCCAAACGCAAAAAGTGTCTTGAATTTTTTTTTGGGGGGGGGGGTGCCATTAAACCCCTAGTAGTCGCCCCGGCGGTGGTCGGTGCGCAATATGCCGGTATACACATACAGCATACTAGGTATAGTAATATAGCATGGGCACGGCGCGAGACTAATGGGCGGCGGCCGGCCGGCGTACGGACGCGGACGCCATTTTTCGTCTATCCTCGACGGCCGGGCGGGGCCTCGGCGATCCGGTTGCGGCCTGCCGATTGGCCGACCGGTTGCCGTCCGCTCGGCGTGTGTACGTACCTACTGCACCCGCGGGTGTACACCGCCGTGGCCACCTCGGCCGCACGGCACAGTAGAACTGTATCTGTCGTTGTGCGCGTACATACCACCGACGGACGCGTCTCGCACAAGCGCGCCGCACACTCTGACCGCGTCTAGCTGTTATCGTTTTTTGTTGCGACAACCACAATTATTATTAATATCGTAATTATCAGATACTGGAGATAGCCCGAGGTTATTTTCTCTGCTTTAACCGATTCGGCCGGTGTAGTAGGTAAATGCCAACGCGCGGACGATGATCGCTTCGGAGAGTACACTGGCGGCGCGCAATCAGTGCACGAGCAGCGTGATGGACCTGACCACGCACGCAAGAACTAACGGCGGCGACGAAAACGGCGGCACGATGGGCGGCGGCGGCGTTGGCGGTGGAGGCGGTGGCGGTGGCGGTAACGGGGCGAACAGACCGGCAAAGTCCATATTTTCCATAAGGAACCTGGTGAACGTCGACGACGGACCCTGCGGCGTCCACGACGAATCTTCTTCCGGTAAGTGTCTACCAGTATGTATATATACTTAAGGGTTGGACGAGAGACGCATGCGCCACGCGCTTTACCGAATATGCGATAAGACAAAATATATATATATATATACATGCAAAAAGCAACAGTAATGTGAACAGAAGGTTGTAAAGAATGTGTATAAAACTTGTGTTGTATTAAGAATACAAGTTTTATGAAGTATAATAACAGCTGATAGTTAAGTGTTAATTGGATGAATTGAATTGGCGGATTTTTTTTTTGTACATTATACTTAAAAAATGTATTGTACTTGAAAACAAAAATTATTGCTCGACACATATATAGGTACACAATACCCATTTACACATAACAAATAATATAATATTATAATAATTAATAGGCAAGCTTTAATCACATTATTTACGAAGGCGTCAAAATAATTATAATATATCTTAAAATGTTTGTTTTATATGTCTAGCGTTTATTTTTAAAAAAATTAGTATTTTTAAGGATTTAAAAAATATTAATTTTTTACTTTTGACCAGAGTTTTTTTCATGAGTCCTCTGAACTGTGCGTTTCATGGAAAAGAAAAGTGTTCGACTATTTTTTCCCTAATACAAAACTGACTTAAAATGCAATAAATTACATAATACAAAAATATATAAATGTATATGACAATATAGGTATAATATAGAAATAAAATCAAAAGAATCACACAAATTTTAAGGGAAAGATCACCCTTATAGTAGGTCTATTGGAATAGTGTAAGTAATTGGGTGCGCTATACTATTTTAGTGGTAGGTAAAAGGAAAGTATGTATAGGTACAATTGGAGACGGGAATGGAATGAAATACTACTTTAAGACTTAGCTGTATAAGATGTCCAGGAGAATCACTAGAACCCTCGGCGGAGAAAGGGTAAACTACTATAAGCTGCGCAACACGCCTAGGTATACCCACTAGAGCATAAACCAAATTAATTCAATATCTATACCGACTGGGCTTACGGTGTACAGGGTGATTCGTTTAAAGGTCGAGACACTGGTTTTGCCTTGCCATAATTATTGCTGTGTTGTAGTTTATATTTTTGGAAATGTTTTCCTTTGTGGTATCCTGAATCACTATGTATATGGTTGATTTTTAAGGATTACTATAGTGATGGACTACCCTATGGACAAATGTATTAGGCTAGGTTGGAAATACTTTAGATGGGTCATCTTATAAATATACTTTGCACAAGTGACAAGGCCATGATTTTGGAATATGCTTTATTTATATGGCATAACGGTCTAAAAGTAGATCAACTTAAATTACAATCGAGATATTATTAAAATCGTTCCGTTGCAACTATTGCACAATAGTTTAGTGTATATTTTGTATTCGGAAAATCTAACCAAACTTAGGTCAGGGGTCGAACCTTTGCCGAGTAGGGCAGGGACAGGTCTTACTGGCAGTGTGCTAAAGAACGTGCCTACCTACTGTATTAATGACATTGGCAACATAGATAGGAACAACGGATATAGATATACTTAAAATTCGAACAATGGACCTATATACAAATTATATAACAGCGCAGTTGAGTTTGTGAACCGCGACCGCAAATTAATATGCCATTTGCTTCGACTGTATAATACACGTTAAATAATTAAATGCACGGCTCAGCTTATCTGCAAGGTGATCAATTTAACGCAAGAAACTAGTATTTTTTTTTCCTAAGCTTAATACCTACTTAAAACGCCTCAAAAAGACAATGACTTACAAAGTAAGTAATATATCTATTGTAAAAAAAAAAAAAAATGATAGCACATACAAATAGGATTACACCCATAACGCGTTGTGTATGGATAAAACTATTCAGACTTTTGCAGATTTAAGTTTTATATTATCATAAACATATTAGTACCAACCGATAGAGATCCTATATAATAATAAGTAGTTGATTATTATTTCCACACACCCATAAAAAAATTACATCTTGATATTGTAGATAATACATAAATCACCTTTTTTACAATTATTAAGTACAATAGGTATCGGTATTAATCCTTTGGGGGATTGTGCATCAACATGCGTTTACATAAACATATTTTTTTAACATTGCCGTTATGTTAATATATTTAATAATAAAATATATAACGCTTATTAAAACTCGCGTTATTATTATTATTATTATATAAAGAAAATCCGTCAATCACGCGATTGAAAATAATAGAGCTACCTTTTGTACAATATATACACACACACACACACACACACACATATTATACACATAAATAGTGTTAATAATAATAGTAAAAAACCATGCCCGTATAAAGTAATATAAATGCTTATTAAACGTTAATGTATATTATAATAGTTTACTGTACACGTCAATCATATATTATATTATACCAGCAAATAAAATTACAACGAACGTGTGAAAAAATATATATTATACAGTAGGTATATAACAACTGCTAGGCATTTAAGTATAATGTACTATGTACAAGGTGGAAGTAAAGAAAAAAAAAATAACAGTGTACACTAAAAATTATTCATATAGGTATATACCACTATTTTGTGGTGTTTTTTTTTCTCATTTTTTTGCATTTTTATGATACTATTAGATGGCGTGTCCGTCAAGCCTAATTTTTATTATTAACCCTAACGCGGTGCGACACATTATAATAATGTGTGTGTGTGTGTGTACTTATACATATATAGAGGAGGTAAAGGTAGTCTTTATAATATTATATTATGCATGATGTATATTATATTGTGCACAAGTGAAAAACCACTATGGAAAATATTGTCGGCGCGAAAAGTGCCGGAGTAATGGGGAAATGTTTTTTTTAGTTGTTTTTTATTAGATTTCCTCGTGCCTGTATATTACATACAAAGTATAAACTACACATTATATTGTTAATTTATTATTAAACGAACCGCTCTTGTTTTAGCGACCGCAGTCTTGTAAATAAATTATACAATAGTCACAAGATGGGTCCGCGACAAGGGCGTGATGGGAATAAATTATCTCCTATCTCTATTTCTCTCTCTCTTTATTTTTGATCGTTCTTATTAAAAATTTATACTATTTGGTACACTGAGTGACCCTTAAGTATACCCTTAAGTGCGACGTTCAAGCCGGGCACCTCTAGCAGGTAACTGTGTTGCGTTACTGAGTGCTCATATTGTTAAAAATTCACGAAATAAACGCAAATAAAGGTTGTAAAAAGCATAGCTGTTGCTTTGGTTGAATGTATAAATGATAAAATAGAGGACGGATGGTAATTTATGTATTGACACGGCGATATGTCTCTGTTGATACGAATCGGTTCACAAAATAAATATCTACATAGTAGATTTAATCGGTTTAATTTGTAATCAAAAGCGAACCCAGCAGAAGAAAACGTTTAGAGATTATCAGATTACACCGACTAAACTTCTATTTACTTTACCCTGCCAGACGACCCAAGTCCAATTAATATTATATTATAATAAATAAAACATAAGTACACTTTAAATGCGCACAGTTTGAGTACTTAGGGAGGACCTCAGAGCCTCTCCCCTCTCCTCGTATCCGCCCTTTGTCCACAATACCATACTGCTCGATATGACCCTGTAATGTAAAAAAAAAAAAAAACTGAAATATTGTTATATTGCACGCGTTAATGTGTATAAATAATAATAATTATTATCTATATTTTTTTAATCGTTTTTTTTTGTTTTTTACATAATCCAACGGCGTCGTTTTGAATTTATGTAACGTAATTATTTTTTCGGTGATCATTTTTTTCCCTCTGTTTTGTGTGGTGTTTTCTGAGGACAAGTAAAAAACTGCGACCTTCGGTGTTCGTCCGTCGTTCGATCAGTACGGTTAATTCGATTAGAGAAAACCCAAGACGGACGCAGAGAGCGTCACGTCAAACAATAGCAAGTTTTTTGCGGTTTTACCCTATTTTCTTGTATTTTTTAATTTGCCGGGAGGTTTGTCGAGATGAAAAAAAAATCCAATTAGCCACCGACAATTAAATACTACCTAATTACAATTATACAACGTGATCTATCCCGACGCGTTGCATTCGTACCTATACCTATTGTATATTATACCTAGTTTTTTTTTTTTTTTTGAAAGTACAATAATATATAGGTGCAATAGTTCGTCGTCACCGCCGATAAGTGTGCCAATAGTCGTTTCCAATAAGAAATTGCCACCATGAAAAGTGTATACAGTGAAATCGACCGTTATGAGCAGCGCATTGAACGAGACATATTGTGTGCTTGGAAATTGGAATGTCTTTTGGAAGGAAACCCTATTAATACAGTGTGATATGGCTAATATGCACTACCTGTGTGATAGTATTTGCATTATGGGAAAAAAGTGGCGAAAGTATATTATTCTAGTTGGCAACGCGACGGTTTCCCGTCCAAGATTCTTTGAAGACAATCGACATATTCGCATATTCAACGGATCCTCCTCTCGTTTAAATTTGGCATAGTCCACACAAGCTACATAACATATTATGACTGGGAAGTTAATGGGTACTAGTAGTACTTGGTTATACGAATGCATGTAAGGGAGCATAAGGAAATGACGATTACAGAGAGCAGGACATAAAGATGGGTCATTAGTGCAGCCGGTACTGTTTAGTGGTGTTTCGCGTGCCAAAATGTCATTAGGACTAAGTACAATATGCTGTTTGAATGGTTAATGTTTCCTTACATTTAATCTTATGGGCTTAATCAATGGGTTAACAGGGTGATTTGGATTTCATACTGTGACAACAGCTGATGGTACTATCACAGATCAAATAAAACCAGATTCTAAAAAAACCAAAAACTCTAAACAGACTTCAATAATCACCGGTCAGTGTAGCCAAAGTTTTTATCAAAAGTCTGTAACGTTATCGCCTTCAACCACGATTATTAAGAAGATCTTTATAGATCTTTATTACGGTTTATCTAATTACAGATGAAAGCGGTTTCTGCGGTACATACCGTACCCGTGTGTAGGCATAATTATATATTGTTTGAACGGCCGCCATTGC